ATACAGAATTGTTAGTTCAGCAGCTCTCCAGTGGATCTGAAAATAACCTTCTCCTTTCAGAGGTCCTTAAGCTTAAAAGTATTTTCATAATAAGTCTAAGATATGACTTACTTTTTTAACTTCCATTCAGTCTCAATTATAAAGTGCAGATTTCCAGAGGTTTACAGGCATAAGATATCACAACACACTGAATGCACAAGCAAATACGAGAATTCAGACATTTTTTACTAAAGCAGACATTAAAGAGATTTGTAAAAATATAAAACAATACTACTTAATAAACTTTTCTGTTTTGAAAACACTACTACTCAATAAACTTCTGTTTTAGGAAACAGCAATCTTTCCTAAAAATATGGCATTTGTGCTGATATGTCATAGAATTATTTTTCAGTAACTAGTCAAAGTTTTTATTTTAATTTCTAACATGATAAATGTTAATAGATATAGCCTACATAACCAACACTCTTTGACAAGGTATCGAGACCAAAAGTTTGGGATTCAATGAGCTACTTGTTTTTAGAGGTGGATGGGGCACTAGCCTAGATTCTCTCTACAGATAAGCCATATTAGGTGTACTAGTAATTAGCACAGACAATACAGAACTTAAAAATATGCTTAAGATACAGGTACAGGTTTCTTCTCAGTAGTTATTTTCACTCACTACAAAAACATACTCTTAAAAATCATTCTTACCTTTTTACTCAAACACAATATATACAGTTTCATATTCTTTTTGAATTATCATCTAGACATTTTTATATATCTAAAGTCTTAACAATTATTGTTTAAAATAAGCAAAAAATCACATCCAGCATCCTTACCTCAACAGTAACTATGAACTGTAATATTTGATTTTCAAAGTATTTTCTAAAAATATACTTTATACTAGAGTATATCCAATTACTAACCCAAAATCCTTCTAAAATACCACAGGATCTTATTTTAAATCAAACTTGCCTAAGAAATTCTGTACCTTGACCCACAAAGGTATTGACATTTTGCCCGGGAACGTGTGGAAACCATGAACTGGAAAGTATCTATCACTTTAACTTTGAATTCACTACTTACTTTCAAACTACCTCAAGAGCCCATTTCCCAGGTGCTCCTCACAACTCTACAAACACAATTAAGGCTTACATTAGTGTTTCCCACCACCTGAAGAGGTTTCTTCTTTCATCTCCATCTGCCCAAAATTCACCCTTTGAAGGTCAGCTTTGAAAGCCAGCTCATCCATGATTCCTTTCCTTTTCTATTGAATATTACCATGTCTCATAGCTGAAGGGCTTCAAACATCAATTAAAATAAAAATCTTACTGTGCTTGTATTTTCAGTACTTTTTTATGTCACACCATCTTTCAAATTTTAAGGGTAGGGTCTTACCAACATCTAGTCTCTAAAGTGCCATAGGAAAGATGAGAAAGTGCTGAGGAAAAATGAGGCTCCAATAAACATCTATTTATCAGAGGTCACACAGCTAGAGTTTGAAAGATTTAAGTGTGAATGCTAGGCACCTTGACTCAAAGTCCATGCTTTTGTATTATTCCATGCTCTGTTATGGTTTGACTAAGCAATGTCCCTCACAGCTCATGAGTTGAAGACTTGGTCTCCAGATTGTGGTGCTACTTGGGGAAGGTGCTGGAAACTTTAGTTGGTGGGGCCTATCTTGAGGAAGTAGGTCATAGAAGGTGTGTTCTTGGGGACAGGCTCTTGCCCTGCCCTCTTCCTGATTCCCTTTTTCTGCTTCCTGGCCACCATGAAGTAAGCAACTTTGCTCCAACGCTTGCTGTCTTGATGTTTTGATTCACCTCAGGACCACAGCAATGGACCAAGATGACCCTGGACTCAAGCCTCAGAAACTGTGAGCCAAAATAAGTCTTTCCTCCCTGTCAGTTGTTTCTCTCAGGTTTCTATTACACTGATGAAAAACTGGCTAACACACACTTTCTTCCTAGTATCTTTCCTATAATAAAAATTCAAGCAATAAGCAAAACTGAACGAAAATCAGACTGGCTTTGTTTTTAAACTCAAGGATTTAAAAATCCAGAAAAAATAATTTCTACAACTATACTTTCATTGGCATTGGAATTATATGCCTGCATATTTTCTTATTATGGCCACCAAAGCAAATGTAATGTGCAGTTTTCAGGAGATAGCATTCAATCACTAAAGTATTATGTCTTTCACACCATATTTTCCTGGTTCTCCATTAGAGCAGAACTGGAGCCATGACTAGCATGCCTGAGACAAAGCAAGAATTCCACATATGTTTGTTAAATAAATAAAAGAGTACATAATAAAACTAATCATTTCTTTTGCTCTCCAGGAACCTGGGCTTATCTTCTCTCTTCCTCTAGTATCTTCATCATTACCATCTTATTAGAGTAAAAGATAACAAGAACAATCATATATTGGGCTATAGAAAATACAACTGGCAACTGGTTTTCTTTTATGGCAACTACATTCTTATATAACTTTTCAGTTTCTTATGTTTTATTTTAAGCAGTTCATTTCTGCTTCAAAAGCACCTCAAACTTATCATGTCTATTTGCTCCCACTCACCTAGATGCTCCATCAAAATCCTTTGGTTTTTACTTAATTCCTCCTACAGTCCCTCACTCACTGCATCTAACCCACCCACTTTCCAACAAAGCTTCTGCAAGTCTCTCAGCATGCCTACCACAATAACCTCCCTTTTCTTTTTTCTTTTTTACAGTTTAAAATCAGGGTTTCACACTTGCTAGGGAAACCCTCTACCACTTGAGCTATGCCTCCAGTCTTACTTTAACCTTTTTAATGATCCCCCCAACACATCCCCCCCACTCCTAACCAACCCTCTAAGTCCACTCTCCATATAATAATGTTATTTTATGGTTTAAAAAATGAAATGACTGTGAAACACCATAACTTCCATTACCGTTCTAATTAAATAAACATTTTTTTCATTTTTATTAGCACATATTCGTTGTACAGGGGGGATTCATTGCACCAATTCTGAATAGCCTTACATTGTACATTGGTTAGATTGCCCCCCATATCTTCCCCCAACAAAACACATCCCCACCTAACTTAAAGCAACTATAAGAGGTTTCATGGTTCTATTTCACATATGTATATGGAGCCCATCAATCATATTCCCTCACCTTCATCGCCTCCATTCACCCTGCCCAAATAAACATTCTTTACCATGGAATTCCTTACAGTATCCTTTATGACCTGCCCACATGCCTCATAACTTCATCTTCATTTTACTCTCTCCTAACAAACCATACTTCAGCCATATTGGCCTCACTTGATCACTATGACCAGTAGATTATTACCTATCACTGCAATCTTTGCATTGTAGCACCTACACCTATGTATATATTTTTTAATGAGAAAAAACTAATTCTATTTCACTTCTACATGCAGATTGAATGCATACCTTGCATGTGGAAGGCACTATTTTTGAATGAAGAAACTGGTACCCTATATACTCAGACTCTTAATTTATATTAACATACATTGTATATTAGCTACATGTTAACAGTACATAAATAACAGACTATATAATATGTAATTTATTACTCTCATGTAATAAAGGGTTTGACTAGCCTTTGACCCAGTTTCCTGGCAAGTACTCTCTCTAAATCCTTGGAACTGACAGAGTGACAGAAATGTTTGTTATTCATGGTAGGCCCCTCAGAACACAGTGGTTTATGTTCAATTCACTGAGGTCTTCTGGACAGTTTATGCTAATGAAATGTCTCAGAGCAAGCAGGGTGGCTCAGGCCTGTAATATCAGCTACTTGGGAGGCACAGATGGAGACTGGAAGAACTCAGTTCAAGGCCAGCCCAGGCAAAAATTCAGACCCTATCTGAAAAAATAACTAAAGCAAAAAAGGGCTGGGGGGCATGGCTCAAGTGGTAGAGCACATGTCTAGCAAGGCTGAGGTCCTAAGTTCAACCCCAGTATTGACAAAATAGAGGATGGAGAAGAGAAAGAGAGAAGTCAGGATGGGGGCTGGCCCTGCAAGAAAGACAAAGCATGGAATTAGACAGACATTTGGGGTAATGGAGAATGAATTAAATCAAAGTAGACAATGCTTCAATCATGCCTGCAATAATGGAACCTCAGTAAAAATTCTCAACACCAAAACTCCAATGAGCTTCCCCTATCAACAATACCCTAGGTATCTTGTTATACATTCTGAGTGTGCGCATGTGTATGGGGGGTGGTGATGTTCTCACTCCCTCTCATGTGGACACAGAACTTCATATTTGGAACCTTCACAGATCTTGCTCTATGTGACTCTTTTTTGGCTGAACCTGAATAGTATCCTTTTTTTAATAATACAACTGTAATTACAACTACAGCACTTTCCTGAGTTATATAAATTATTCTAATAAACTATCAAATCAGAAGAAGTAGTAGGACCCTCCCAAATTTGTAGTCAGTCAGAAATGCACTGGCCCCCTCTTTGGTCAGCACCTGAGCAGTCTTGCCAGCAACTTGAGCCCTTTAACAGTGAAGAAGTCCAGCCTAACTCCAGGTAGTTGGTATCAGAACTGCACTGCATTTATGTAACAAACAATAACAGACACCATTTCCATAAATATGTGTCAAGCACTAAGAACGTGTTTTTATATACGTTTTCAAATCTTCTCAAAACATTACCTCTAAACAAGGCAGAATTATCATCTTATAATAAGGAAATTAAGGACTAAAAGTCCCATAGCCAATAAATGTGGGAACTTAAATTCATATTCAGGACTGTTTGGTTTAAAAGTCCATGAACCAAGTCACTAAACACTTCAGCTTCTCATATTGGTTATGTAAATGCATGACAAGATAACATTAAGAAAATGCCACCTAAGAACGTATGACATGACATCTTTATTCAAATTATAAACTGAGATATTACAGCAAAATCTATGGTAACTCTATGAATTTATGAACTCTTTACATTAAGTATAAAATATCATATTTTAATACAAATTCCTTTATTAGCTGCTTAACTTACTTGTTTGTGTTTTAGAAACATGTTTCTGGAGAAAATCAACTATCTGAGCCAAAACCTTCTTATTACAATATGTTGATAATTTTTCATCACATTCATAACACCTGGAAAAATATAAATTTTAAGTAAATATTATGAAAGTACCTTCAGTAATTTTGCACATCAGGTAAGTTGGTATTCAATCACTTCTGCCTTTAAATATGAAGGGAATACAAAGAGGAAGGCACTAGGTAAATCTAGAGAACTAAGCAGGGGAGAGTTCATACAGAGCCTCATAATTCAGATAAAGTTTTACAACTTAACTTACATGTAATGGAATGCCATGAGGGGTTTCTAAGCAGGGCAGTGATATGGCCCAAATTACATTTAAAAAACATCACTCCAGTTAATGTGATAAACTAGATTGGAGGACATTAGGAACAGAAACAGATCAGAGTTCAGACCGAATTAGATATAAAAGATGAGGGATAAGGAAGTATCAAAATAACTGCCATGGGAAAAAAGAAGAGGGTAAGGGTCAGTGATTCTCAACCTGGATTAATTTTATCCCCAGAAGACATTTCAACTTATCTCTTGGTTGTGGTGAAGGATGTCGCTAAACATCCTATAATATGGTGAACCGCTCAACAAGAAATTAATCACAGCAATGAATTATCAGTCTGAATGTCAATAGTACTGAGATGAAGAAATCCTGGTCTGAATAAAATAGACTTGCTGTGAGTTGATGATGTTTACATATAGTCAACAGGTACAGAGGAATTCAAAATACCATTTTGTCTACTTTTATTAAAAGGTTTAAAATAAAAGATTTTAAAAAATCAGACAAAAATAACTACCAGGCTTCTAGCTTAATTACTAAGTGATGAAGCTGCCTCTGACAGAGTTGGAAAAGACAAACCTTTTTTATTTTACTTGGAGATTGACTGAAAATAAGGAATTAGGTGAGAATACTACTCTCAATTAAGTGTATTCATTAATGCTTACAGTAGCAAGATGTTTCTTCTCTATATTACCCTTATTTGTATCCTTTATCATCATGAGATCCAATGACCATATAAGAATATGTGTTTGAGCCAGGCACTGATGGCTCATACCTGTAATCCTAGCTGTAAACTAGGTTTGGGTTCATTTTCAAAATGGCATTCAGAATTCAATTAAATATTTACTGAGTGCCTACTCTTTTACTTGCCCAGAGGAAGAGAGACAAGTGACAAAAAACAGTTCCAAAAACATTTTTCCCCATAGGCCATGATGGATTTAAACAATTATAGCTGTTAGGCTATGTAAGCCTAATAATAGTGTTCAATATTTACTTATTTAACTATTATCAAAAAAAGTAAAATTATAAAATTATTCATTTGCAAAATATTGAAGTATCAAGAAAATTTTACTGATGTTTTTACTTATTATAGAATATGCTGTTTCATCAGTTTAGTTCTCTCTTTCTTTCACCATCACTTGCCTTTCTGCTTTTCACCATGGGATGATGGAGCAAGAATGCCCTCATCTTAAAAGTGAACTTCCCAGCCTTCAGAACCATGAGAAATAAATTCCTATTGTTCATAAAATTAAAAAAATAGAATATGTTGTTGTAACTTTGAGAATAAAAAAGAAAAAGCAAGTGACTAAATACTAGCCATGACTGCAGTGAATTTGCAGAAAAGAGGACAATTCAAGATAATTTAACTCTATTGTCCACTAAAAATAACCAGAAAAAAATTTAGCATTTATTATATGCTATACAGCACTGATCTAAGTGCTTTACATGCAGTATGTGTTTTAATCCTCATTTAAAAAGAAAACATTAAAATTATTTCTACTTTTTCTTTTTTGGTACTGGGGCTTGAACTCAGAGTCTACACCTTGAGCCATTCTACCAGCTCTTTTTTTGTGATTTTTTTTTTTTTGAAATAGGGTCTCACCAACTATTTGCCTAGGCTGGCTTTGAACCTCAATCCTCCTGATGCTACCTCCTGAATAGCTAGGATTACAGGAGTGAGCCACCAGCCACCTGGCAGTAATTCTGTTTTTAAGACAAAACCTTCATAAGAGTATATTTTCTTTCTATAGATGAGAAAATAAGACAAACCAGAAATGTTTTGTCTCAGAAATACAGGGAAAAATCAATCTTCCTTCAAAAAGCTTTCAAGTAATTTGAAAGTACACACTGATATGCTAACTTTAAGTTTATATCATTACTTCTTAACTCTGTTTAGGCTTCAGAATCACCACAGAAGTAAAAAATATAGGACAAAATACTTGATTCAACAGGTTTGATGTAAGGGCAGACTGCTGGCACCTATGGGTTTTTCAAACTCCCCCTGTGTGATTTTGATGTGAAGTCTGATGTAAGAACCACTCTACTTAATTAAAGCAATATTACATCCACTATCTAGAAACACTGTTAGCCATAACTGAATTATCAAATCTGTGATTTCTTTTTTTTATACAATTCAGGTTTTTGTTTTAATTCAGACTGATTTTCCCTTTAATTCAAATTAGTGAAGTTTTATAATGAAATGTTTTTATTATTTCAGAATTAGGAGGAAAAAACAGCACAAATTCCTATAAATGAATTTGAATTAAATTCCTATAAACTCAAACCTGAGAATTCATCTTTTATAAGAAAATAATTCTACAGATCCCCAAATGTGATTTTAATTATTTTCATTATAATATAAATCAAATACAGATTCAAAAACCTAAATAAAAGCCAGACACTGGTGGCTCAGGCCTATAATCCAAGCTACTTGGGAAGCTGAGATCAGGAGGATCTCAGTTTGAGCCCAGCCTGGGCAAATAATTCATGAAACCCCCCTCTCCAAAATAACTGGAGCAAATGGACTGGAAGTCCATTTGCTAAGCAGTAGAGCACCTGCTTTGTAAGCTTGTAGCCCTTAGTTCAAAAAAAGTGCCCCCCCACAAAAAAACCTAATAAAAAAATTAATTCACCAGCCCCCTAACTCTACATAACCACAAAAGCCAAATAAATTATACAATTAAGTATAGAAACAAAAATCACAAAACCAATTAATTTAAAACAAAACTAATTTATTATGTCTTATTATGGGTAAGACTCTTTTGCTGAAAATTAAATCACTATTTCTACCACGAAGCCTAAGACCTACAAAAGAGATTCTGGCACGGATTCAGTGGGATGAGCCCATTCTACCAAGTGCTACTTAATTCTGCCCATTTTTTTCTTTTTTTGTTCCAGTCGTTCTCAAACCGTGATCCCCAGAACAACAATACTAGCAAAATTTAGGAACATGCAGAACTCTCGGACTCCAACCCAGAACTACTAAATCAGTCTTTAGGCCTGGGATCCAACCTTCCTGGTAATCCTGATGCACCCCAAAGTCTGAGACCTTTACTGTAAAATCTTTATTAAGCTACCACACTATGACATCATCCACTTCTCCCTTAGCACCATTGTAATTATATATTAAGTTCTCTTTGTTCTATCCAGACTTCACAACATAGCAACAACAAAAAATGAACATAGCAAACATTTCAAACCCCATGACTACATTAACTTATAGATGATGATTCTAAAATTCTTTGGTATTCATTTTAGAATCCTGGAATGAAACACAAAGTTAAAATATGTGTTTCTCTTCAAGAAAACTTGAAGACTTCTGAAAATTCAGTCAAGAACCTCTCAGAATTTACAGATTCCAGTTATAAAATTATTACTGTAAAATACAGAGAAAGCATTTCAAGTAGGCACCCACTTATACTCCTGAACAATGTGATATATGCTGGCAAGACACTAGGGAATACACTGGAGACTGGAGGTATGGTTCACCTGGCAGAGTGCCTATCTAGCAAAGCAAAAAGGAAAAATAAAAAAGAAAGAAATTAGGGAAAAGTAATACTTGTTTTAAGGCGAAAGGTATAGCTCAATGGTACAGTACTAACTTAACATGTTTTAAGGCCTGGGCTTGAACCCAGCACTACAAAAAAATAAAAAATAAAGCTTATTTTAGTATCTAGATTTTTAATTTGTAACCACAGAAAAGTAAATGGTATACTAAGCTTCCTTACACATAAAATAAAGGAACTGGCTAGGTTCTCAACCACAGTTTAGTAGCAAATCACCTGAGTGATTATAAACTAAGTGATTATAAACTAAATGATTAAAATCACCTGAATTTTTATAAACTACATACCCAGTCTTTCCCTTCTCCCAACAGAGTCACCAAACTACTTGACTGTTTGAAGATTTCCTGTTAGAACTCTGGAATTTTGGATTACCAAGACCATTATGAAAAATCAGCCTGATAAGAATTTTTCTTTATGGTACAAAGAAAATTTTAGAGAAAAGTAGAGGGAAAACTAAAGTCTTTCTAATTTAAACTTCATATTCATGAGCAATTTTCTTAAATTACCCCACAGATTGTGTTCAGGCTAAAAAAAAATAAAGCATAAACTGGTATAGTATCTTTATTTTACCTTGTAAAGCTCCAAGAAAAAGACTTTTTTTTAAGTGAATATGAGCACTTACAAATTTAACTTACCATATAACCCATGTACTCAAACTAATTATGATACAATGGGACTCTGTTCCAAAACTCCTGAAGTGCTTCAGTGAATGCTGGCTTTCTGAGTTTTTACCACATCCCTGAAGATGAACACAATGATACTTGAATGAGTTACAAATAAGTATGCTTCAAATTAATCAAAACTTAAACTCCTGGTGGCTCATGCCTATCCTAGCCACTCCAGAGACAGAGATCAGAAGGATCCCAGGTCAAAGCCACCCTAGGCAAACAAGTTGTGAGACCCTATCTCAAAAATACTCAACACAAAAAAGGGCTGGCAGAGTGGCTCAAGTGGTACAGCGCCAGCCTAGCAAGTGTGAGGCCCTGAATTCAAAACCCAGTCCCGCAAAAAAAAAAAAACTTAAATTGTACTCAAACATACTGAAAGGGTTTCGGTTTTAATTTTTTTGCAAAGAGGCTTACTTTTCATTATATAGTATTCACCTAAAACAGTCCTAAGCAAAGTTAATGTCATTATCATTTACAAACGACTACACTACCTGCCTTGCACACTGTGAGACACTGAGCAGGCTAGGGGTACCACTTCCCCAAACATGCATCTCCCAAGCCTGTACATACCTCAACCACAACCCCACTAAGAACTAATGAAAGACAAACCAATCATACTAAGTTCACTCAGTAGGTAAGAAAATGAAACAGCACATTCTGCTGAACATGACATGAAAGGAAGAAACCATGTCTAATGGATATTTCCATGGAAGTTTCACGTATTTTTAAAAAGAAGGGGATGTACTCTTTCCACTTCTTCATTGGCTTTGGAAACTACCAATGATGATACATAATGCCTGAAGCATCTTCAGTCATCCTCAAACTACAAAGTTAGGGGTTTCACAGCAGAAAAACAGAAGCAACCTCAGTCTTTTAATGTTCTTTCTCTTGAATTAACTATCTCTGAAGTGGCCCTACTTCTGGACTTTCTGTGTAAGATAATAAAGATTCCTCTTTTTTTAAAGTATATATTTTTAATTTCATTAGGGTTCCTTTATTATTGATAAAGTAATCTCTAAATATTAAGGAAAATTATTTTGCAAAAATTTAAAAAAATTGAATCTGAAAAGTTGGACCTATTTCCAAAGTAAATATATAAACAGTAAAGATATCCACATATGAGAACTACAAATGAATTAGATTTCCTTGCAAAATATTTATGACCTACATGACTACTTTCTGAACACAGAATATATTTTATTTCTAATTTTACTCTTGGAAGAGTTTTAATCTAAATATGGAATAAATCTATCCTAAGTCCTGTGTATGACCAAGAGTCCAACTCACAGAAAGCATTTAAGGAAGATGTAAGATATACTCACACATAAATAACACCTTTCTTACCTGAAAACCACACTTGAGGCACAAGCAAATATCAGAAGGAAGTACTGGCTGTCCATCATAGAATCTTCTTTCTTTTATACATTCTGAGCAAACTGACCATAGATTCTCAATTATTGCTTTCTTCACATGATTCACGCTGACAGCGTGACTGACATGTTGGCAAGTTAAACCTACTGAATAAAGATAAAACAAAATGAAAGCATTCTTTGCTAAAGAAAAGTGCTACCATTGGTAAGCAAAAGACCACAGCATTGAAATACTATAAACTAAAAAGCACAGAAATTCAAAATCAAAATAACACAAAAGGATACATGCTATATTAATTCATTTGTAAGACATTTATGAAATAAAATAATTAGAGTTGAAGAACAGATTAAGGGGCATGGATGAGAGACAAGCAGTGTGAATATAAATGCAAGGTAGTAATGGTACAGTCAAGTTCCCCAAAAGTATACGAAGACACACATGTAACAAACTTGCACAGACACAGACAGGCATATGTAAATCTGGTGAAATCTGAATAAGCTAAGAACTGTACCATTGATTTCGATGTTGTACTATAGCAAAAGAACAGGGAAAGGTAGGGGAAGGACAAATGGGATCTGCTTTCATATTTCTTTGTACCTTCTTGTGAATATAAAATTATTTTAAAAATAAAGAAAATTAAGGAGATTAAATGTCTATTGAGCTCCTAGTATGTATCAAGCATTTTGAATGCATTTTCTGTCCACTAAGATACACATACAGCCGCGTGCCAATGGCTTACACCTGTAATCTTAGCTACTCAGGAGGATCGTGGTTCGAAGCCAGCCTGGGCAAATAGTTCTCAAAACCCTATCTCAAAAATACCCATCATAAATAAAATAAAAGGGCTGGCAGAGTGGCTCAAGGTGAAAGCCCTGAGTTCAAATCCTAGTACTACAAAATAAAAAAAAAGAAAAATACATCTATAGGATGAAGGGTGTAGCACAGTAGTACAGTTGGTGCATAGTATGTACAAGGACCTGGACTCAATTCTTAGCACCAAAAAATAATACATGTATAAACTGTTACAGGAATCTCAAACTGAGATATGGGACACTGAGGCAGTTTAGCAGAAAGCAGCATTTTATTGTGCAGGCAGACTCAGCAGACTCATGTCTAAAGGCTGACCCCCAAGAATAAAGGGGTCTCAAGGCTGACCCCCAAGAATAAAGGGGTCTCACCTTATATACCCTTGCAAGCAGGTTACAGAAGAAAAAGCAAAGTTTAACCCATATTTGGTTGCATGTGACTTTACCGGCTATTTCATTCCTCTAGTGCTATATGACCTTCTTCATGTTTCAATTCTTTTAAGTTTTATTTCTCTGCTGTGTCATACCTTCTCCCTGCTACATTATCAGAATACAAACTGCTTATTTTCTGGTCCTCCACCCTGCTACATTATTCCCCACGTTGATGCTTGGCCCCACGAAGGGTCAAAGAGCATCATCTTGATTTAGGGGTTTTTATTTTCATAGCATCATTACATGGGCAGCTGTTTTCCTTTCTATAGTGGCCTCTATAATGGTCCTGATGGACCACAATACCAAGGGAACCAGGCAGGGTAACATCAAACATGCTCCCAAGACAAGACCCATTGTCCCACTTTCCATGACAAATGTAACCTGTGTTGTTTTATTTTACTCTGGGACGTTTAGTATCGTTTACCGGCAACCTCACAAACCTGGGGAGTATATGAGCCAATGTAGCACCTGGTTGCAGGGTACATGGTATGGATGGCTATGTGGAGGTCCCAACATCTCTTTTGTAACATTCAGCACATGGGGGAAACCTTGCAACAGCCAACCCAACAGGTAAGAGTCCAAGTGTGCAGAGGAGAGCATGGGTGTGTCCCCTTTCACTATGGGTAGTCTAGTCAGCTTCCAGAGTAACTAAAGCAGGACTGTTGTCCCACTGCAGTGGGGATAGACAAGATAATAAAAGGGCCCCTTCAATAGGGTTTTAATAGTTGGACATTTTATTCTTTTACCCGGAAAGTGTCTTTTTTTTTTAAACTCAGTAGAATTACCATGACAACAATGTATTATCAGTATATATGTCCAAGAAAATGTGGTTTTAAAAAAGTTAAAACCACCACCTTTAAGTATCAAAGGACATGTTTAGACACACTAAAAATAGTCACTTTGTCTCTATTTAAGTAGAAGACCCTGTCTAAAAAAAAAAATGAGTTTGTGTCTAGAAGGGCTTTAATGCCACATAGCCACACATGTATAAGAACCATTTCCTCAATCCTCTCAGCCTTGGTTATTTTTAAGAGGTCCGGAACAAATGACTCCATTTGAACTTTTCACAGCATTCCCCCTTGTCTCCAAACTGCTTGTCTCTGAGCAATCTCCTATGAAGATCTTTTTCCCATCCAAGTACTAACCATGCCCGACCCTGTTTAGCTTCATGGTACCAGATGAGATGGGGTGTGTTCAGGGTGGTATGGCTGTAGACTGAAGATCTTTTTCCATTGGTCATTTTTTTCTCTTTATGGTGAAGATTTGTTTTTTTCTGGATTTTGTTTGGTTGGTTGGTTTTGGACCCATGGCGGGGGAGAGGGGAAGTAACAAGCAGATAAGGTGGGAGTCAGTGCCAACTAGACCATTTTGGCCAAATTTAAGCAACAAAAAGGCTTAGAAGGAGTGGCTCTTTGGCAGTGGGCTTCAAGACAAGGACAATACGTAACAAAATCCAACAAAAGCAGACATCCAAAAAGATAACCTGGTTGACACATAAGTACTTATTAGAATCATTTTTTATGAACTTGATTGTAAATGCCCCAGAAGGATCAGAACTGTAATGACAAAAACTTAAAAGAGCCATGGTTAAAATTCTGATGGACAATTTAGCAACGAAAAGAACAGTATATCAGTACCATTAACTTTTTGTTACCATGTTTATCTAAATTTTATATTTTAAAAGACTTGATATACTTGAAAATCATGAATATATTTAGTATACAGGAACCAGCAATAGCATCACAGCTCTACAAAGGTTATATATATACATATTAGTTTAGTTGTGCTCTTGAAGTAAAACCTTACATTTTCCCATCAGTGGGGGGAGAGGAGACAGTGTCAGTGATCCCAAACAGTTCAATAACAGACACATATAGGGTACCAACTGCATTAGAATCACCCAAGACAACAGTTGTTTAACCATGAGGTCATTTAGAAAATTTTACATAAACAAACTCTTAAATGAACTTTTATTTATTTTTGACTCAGTTACCTCAGTAGTAAAAACCCTGAAAACACAGGTTTTCAGGTAACACAGGTAAGTGTTTATAGGGACCAAGTGTGGAGTTAGGAAACCTAATGGCCAAGAATCATGGCTTAGATGTTGATAAGGGATCACATTCCAGATTATTGACATTAACAGATGGCTCAAAACATACAGCAGGATCCCACCAACCTGTAGACAATCAATGGAGCCCCCCTAAAATTATAGGCTCAATCTGGCCATCCCAGGCCAAAAATTCCCTTCACCTGACATGTGGAAGGAATAGTACAACATTTCCACTCCGTTGGCTCTTATTCTGAGTTTTTTTTTTTTTTCTTTATTCTACGTGGAGGGTGCACTTTGGATTTTTTTTTTAACTTTGCTTTACATAAGTAAATCTGTCTCAACCCTCATATCAGTGTAGCAGCACTCACTGTGCTCAGCTGCCTCTTGCCTTTCTGTGTTTTAATAAACTCTTGTTGTCTTGATAAATTTGTAGGTTAACCTGCAGCAACAAAAGTTCCTGAGAGTTATCTTAACAAAGCAAAAACCATTTTTAAGAGTTTTTTGTAAATGTTATCAAGGACAATACAGTATTTTTAAGATAGCCTGGTTGTTATGAGCTTAGAGAATTTTTAGTTTAATATCAGTACATTAAATTTTGACCTTACAAAACCTTTACTATAACTGGATTTTAGTCAACTTAATCATTTATATAAGCACTTATAAGCTCTTTTTATGACAACTTACTCTGTACCTTTATGACAACTTATTTTGTACCCTTCGGGGGAGCTTGTTTTTATCTTTTCTTTTAAAGTATTTTTTTCCTTTTATTTTTTAAAAACCATATCCTTAATACCTTATATGTATTTTTGTTACTTACTGAAAATAACTCATAAACCCTTTTAACTTAAAGCCTTATATTTGTATGAAAAAAAACAGAAAGAAAGCAACCTTAAAATTATTTTTTGAATAAAAAAAATTATAGAAAGCCCATTTGTTAACAGACCCATGTATTACAAGAGAGAATTAAATCCCACATTTTATTTACAACAGAATGAAACCAGCTAAGGTCATTTTTTTAACTACCCAAATTTTAAGGTTCCTGCTAGGCTGTGGACCTCCCTTTTTCTTTTTTTCTTTCTTTTTTTTTTTAATTTTCCTCTCTGGTCTGAGCCAGAGTGTTAACCCTGAATGCATGCATCCTCATGAGACCTGAGAGACCTGATTGAAATAAGTTTGAAAACTGGTTTTCTTAAAAGTAGCAGTAGAACAGAGTTACAAATTTTTTTACATCCTATAATATCCATCCTCAAGATGTTTATATATTCATATGTAAAAAGCTTAAGCAGTTTTTAACAGAGATCTTTAAAATAAACACCCTGGTTTTTTATTACTCTGAATATCACATTAACCTTATAACAGCAGTTTAAGAATCATTTTGAAGATGCTTACATACACACACACACACACACACACACACACACACTTTTATAAATTAAGCATGCCAGAAAAAAATGTCAACTTAAGTGTGCGTAAGATGAGCTGGAACCCCAGGAGCAAATTAAATTTTGCCCAATGTTGTAAACAAATTGACACACACAAAATTAGAGCATACTCTCAGAAAAACCTTCTTAAACCCTAACCAGAGGGCTGGCTATCCAGTGGAACAGTGAATGATGCATCTGTTCTCTTTTGAGTCTCCCTCTTTGGAACTGAATTTTGTTACCTATCCCTTAACCTCAGTTGTGGCTATTTTCAGGCAAGAGCTCAACCCATCCCCTCTCCCCTACCCTAGTACTAGAGGTTTTCTTGTATTTTACTCAAAGTGCTTTCTTTTTACTTGTGTTGTTTCTCATCCTGCTGGTGAGAAAACCCAGTAGGTGCTCAACCTCCCTAATTCCCAGAGGTGTTTTACACTTTTGTCCTACTCCCTAAACCTGAGAGACCCAGTTTCACCTCAGACTGGGTTACACAGTGGTGTCTAGGAGGTGATCAGTCTCCCCTTCTGCCTCCAAAGGCAGGCCTGTTATTTGAACCTGGGTTCCTGTAAGTCTGACAAGTGGTACTCTCCAGCGCCTCACCAGGTTCCTCTAGACATCCAAGGCCTTCACCCAACCCACTGGAGGATGAGTCCCTTCTCTGGATCAAACTGTCTGTTGGTGCCTGCTGGGATCACCTCTCCTGGTGGTCCAGGGGCTGCACCCTGGCGACAAGGAAGGTGACAAATCACTGGCTCCACAATCCCAGACGAGCCCCCAAGAAATGTTGCAGGAATTTCAAGTTCAGATAGGAGTCACTGAGGCAGTTTAGCAGGAAGCAACATTTTATTGTGCAGGCACAGACTCAGAAGACTCATGTCCAAGCCTAAGCCCCGAGAACAAAGGGGTCTCACCTTATATACCCTTGTAAGCAGGTTACAGAAGCAAAAAGCAAAGCTTAACCTATATTTGGTTGCATGTGACTTTACTGGCTATTTCATTCCCCAGTGTTATGTGATCTTCTTCATATTTCAGTTCTTTAAGTTTTATCTCTGCTATGCCATCCCTTCTCCCTGCTACATTATCAAAACACAAACTTGTCTGTTTCTTTTCTGAGCCACCTCCCTGCTATAATACTAGCCTTACTATAAAGCTACTTTCATCATTATTGGAGAAAGAAGGACAAAACAGTTGCATAATTGATAGGAACCAGAATTCCAAGAAATCTCTTTAATGAATATTCTCAAATGATGAATTCCTGAATATAAAACTGTATTAAAGTCTATAGGATTTTTAAATTAAACAAATGAAAAACAATAATGGAAATTTTCATGTAAGCATTAATAAAAATTTTGTAAAGAGGTCTTTGCAATTTGCAAATGGAAATATTTAGTTAACAGTTCCTCCTTCTCCCAGAAATTTTTAAAAGGCAGTAAGAGGGTTGGAGGTGTGCCTCAAGTGATAGAGCACCTGATTTTCAAGCATGAAGCCCTGAGTTCAAACCCCAGTCCCACCAAAAAAAAAAAAAAAGAGCAATAAGAACAGAAAACAAAAGATTCAAATTAAGTAGAAAGGCTCCCATCTCAAAACAGCAGATATTGAAAAGGGTTGTGCAGAAGTAGAGAAAATACTGCAGGTATAGATTTCAGTAAGAACGTATGCTTCCCAGATATACAGCAAAAGCTAAATAACTGAGCTACAACAACAGTGACAGAGGCTCCCTGTGTTCAACTTTTTTTCTTTTGCAGTACTGGGGCTCTAAATCAGGGCCTCATGCTTGATAGACAACTGCTGTAGCACTTGAGCCATACCTCTAGTCCTCAGTTTTATTTTGAGAAGAAGCAAAAGAAGGGAATTTCTCATTCACTAAGAAATAAAAAAGCAAGCCATATTTGCAGGAAGCAGTCTTATCTCTATAACAGTTGGGAAGACAAGACATTTTGGATTCTGAAAAAATCCAGGGTTGCATAATGCTATTGGTCTGAAAAAAGTAAAGGCTGAATCAACTGAGTAGGCTTCAACAAGGTTCTAGCTCCTTGTATTAGTCAGTTCCCCATTACTACATGAAATACGTGAGATGATTAGCTTATAATGAGAAAAGATTTAATCAGGCCAGTCCAAGATTGAATGGCTCTACCACTCTGGCCTCTGGCGAGGGTGGCATGATATAGTGGAAACATGTGGCAGAGCAAACCACTCACCTCACAAGCCAGGACGCAAGAGGCAGAGGAAGGAACAGGGGCCTACGATACCCTCCAGAACATAATCCCAGTCACATACAAACCTCCCTCTATGCCCTACCTCCTAAAGGTCCATAGCACTTTCCAATAGTGCCACCCTGGGACTACACATTTAACACATGACCTTTTGGGGGACACACATCCAAACCATAGCACCTTCTTTTTATAAAAGTATTCTAAAAATTGCTTAAAAAGCAACCTTAATCAAATGAGTAATCAAAGAGGGATCAAAGCCACAAATTCTATGCTAAAATAATAATAAGGAAGGAAGGAAAAAAGAAAACAAATGTCAGAGCAATTGTTGGTATGAAATACAAACAAAACAGAAGTAATCACTCTAGAACAAGATGAGAAACAATAGGAAGGGACTGGCAGAGTTCAAAAAAGAATAATTAAAAAAAAACACATAAAGACTAAGTTAAAAAGAATATAAGGTAAAACAGACACTATTTCAGACACAGTAAAGGACAAAAATGAAAACAAGCAGAATAAAAAGGAAATAAACAGTTTCAAAGAATTTGAGAAAATGTGTAAACTGTGGAAAACAGGCAAAGGAGCACTTACACAAGAATAATCAGGGACTGAGGGTATAGTTCAATGGTAGAGCACTTGCCTAACATGCATGAGGCCCAGGGTTCAACCCCCACCCCACAAAAAAATGAACAAAAAGAATAATCAGGACCCCTGAAGAAAACCGTATTAACAGAATATTTAGAGATACAATTCAAAATTCCTTCTATACAGCAAATTAACTATCCTGAAACACTATCCAAGTTAAAGAAAAGCACTTAAAAATAGCACAACCTCTTTTTAAATGGTAAGATGAACTGCAAGGAAATGAGGAAAACTCTCAGAGGCCAGCACCTAAGGCATGAAACCATTAAGGAGAAAACCAAGTCCTGCAGCCAGCAGAGCCTCTGGTGGCTTAGAGATCTGAACCAAATGGAAAAAAGAAAAAGAGCCAATGTTACTTTACCTCTAAATTAAACAAATCTTATTAAAAACATCAATAAGCTTATTTTTGGAACGAGACAAACTAATTCTCAAGTTTATGCAGAAAACGGTGAAAACAGAGTAATGAATGTATTAATTTTAAAACATATTATGACTTACTTTCCCCAACACCATTTGGGATGCCAGAAATCACAACTTACCAGCAATATCATCTGAAGAATCTTCATCATGAGGTATCAAAGGTTTTTTATTTCTTTTGCCTTTCTCAGGTAAATCTTTGGATGGATCTTTAACCCGCATCTGTTATTTACTTTTCAGTTAAAAAAAAAAAAAAAGGAAAACAATGAATACACTTTAATCTTCAAAATTAAAATTTATATATATTGTTTAAATCAAAAGAGGAAAAGAGTAGAACAACAGCTGAAATAAAAGGTCTTTATTAAAAATCAATACACGGGCTGGGGGTGTAGTTCAGTGGTACAGCACTTGCCTTACATGTACAAAGCCCCGAGTTCCATCCCCAGCACTGCCAAAAAATATTAATATACAAATGGTACATTCCATTTGACTTTAACCAACTATCCTAAATGTTTGTGTCCACCTCTTTCCCCAACCCCAAATTTACATATTGAAGTCTAACTCCTACTGTGATAGTAGTTGGAGATGAAACCTTTGGGACGTGGCCACATGAGAGTGGAGCCCTCATCACTGACATTGATGACCTGGTAAGAGGCCAAAGAGCTAACCTCATTCGTAGCTATGTGAGGATAACAAGAAGATGGCAAAGACAAATCTGGATTACTCTCACTAACACAACGTATCTGCCAGCATCTTGACCTTGGACTTTCCAGCCTTCGGTACTAAAAAATGTTTATTGTTTAAGTCACTCAGTCTGGTAATTTCTTATACAGGCCTGACCTAAGACATACCTCCTATATATATATGATGTCTCAGTGAATGAAAAGTTTTACTCAACAAAATAAGTGCTGCTTGTGATAATGTACTCCCTCCTTTCTCTTTCTCCTAAGCTTATGGCTAGGTGATAGCAAAGCTGGAAGAACCACATTGGACCATGGATAGAAGCTGTGAGCCAAGCAGAGTGAAGCCCCCTACCTGTGCTATGCCACTTAGGGCTGGACTATTGAGAGAAAAGCTGATTTCTATCTTTTTAAGCTACCATATTTTTTTCCTTGAACTTTTCATTATGAAAAATTTTAAACATCTACAAAAGTTAAAAGAATAGTATAATGAATACCCATATACTATTATATAGATTCCACACCTCTTAATGTTTTGCAATGTTTATTTTATCTAAATGTCAATATAGACATACATGTGAGTATGTTTTTTTTGATGAACTATTTGAAACTAAGTTGTAGAGAGAGTTTACCCCAAACGCTCGAGCCTATAACACTTAAGAATAAAGACATTCTAGGGCTGGCGGAGTGACTGTAGCAGTAGAGCACCTGCCTAGCAAGCATGAGACACTAAGTTCAAACTCCAGTGCTGCCAAAAATTCAATACATAAAATAGGTTAAAGAAAAAAAAGGAATAAAGTCATCATATATAAAATCATCAGCACGTGTAAAAAAAATTAACAATTCCTATAACATTAACTGGTGTTTTTTTTCGGGGGAGGGGTGCTTTTTTTTTTTTTTTGAGATAGGGTGTCAATAAGTAGCCCAGGTGAGTCTAAAACTTGTAATTCTCCTGCCTCAATCTCAAATGATGGGTTACAGGCATGTACAACAATGTCCAGCCCTAATATCATCTCTTATCCTAACAGACTCTAATTTTCCTAGTTAATTCAAAAGTGTCTATAATTGGTTTTTCAAATAAGGAGTCAATAAAGATTTGTACTTTATATTTTTAGTCATATCTCTTTATCATCTGTATTATCCTTTTTTTGTGAGAATCTTATAATCTAGGACAGTTCTTCCAACCTTTAAGCTACCGAAGGCTTTTTTAAGACATCACGCCAGTATGTGAGTCACTTTGGGAATCCTGATTTAACAAGTCTGCCACACAAAATAGTTTCTGCTGGGTATTGAAGTGGGGGGAAAGGGAGAGGGCGGAGTGGGTGGTAAGGGAGGGGGTGGGGGCAGGGGGGAGAAATGAACCAAGCCTTGTATGCACATATGAATAATAAAAGAAAAAAAAAAAAAAAAAAGTCGGCCACAAGACCTAAGATCCTGCGTAACAAGTTCCTGATTGAAGTCATTAGTAGGGGTCCACAGACTCCTTCAGTAGCAAAGTTGCATAATGTCCCACACTGAAGATTTTTCTTCATGGTGTTATTTACCTCCATCTTTTATGTTTCTTAAAAATTCAGTTAAACTCTACAGATTTTAGATACAAGCTACACATTTTTTTTAATAACTCTCAATTTTTAATTTTTTTTTCCTTTTTCTTTTATTATTCATATGTGCATACAAGGCTTGGTTCATTTCTCCCCACTGCCCCCACCCCCTCCCTTACCACCCACTCCGCCCCTCCCTCTCCCCCCCCAATACCCAGCAGAAACTATTTTGCCCTTATTTCTAATTTTGTTGTAGAGAGAGTATAAGCAATAATAGGAAGGAACAAGGGTTTTTGCTGGTTGAGATAAGGATAGCTATACAGGGCATTGACTCACATTGATTTCCTGTGCGTGGGTGTTACCTTCTAGGTTAATTCTTCTTGAACTAACCTTTTCTCTAGTACCTGTTCCCCTTTTCCTATTGGCCTCAGTTGCTTTTAAGGTATCTGCTTTAGTTTCTCTGCGTTGAGAGCAACAAATGCTAATTTTTTAGGTGTCTTACCTATCCTCACCCCTCCCTTGTGTGCTAAAGCTTTTATCATGTGCTCATAGTCCAATCCCCTTGTTGTGTTTACCCTTGATCTAATGTCCACATATGAGGGAGAACATACGATTTTTGGTCTTTTGGGCCAGGCTAACCTCACTCAGAATGATGTTCTCCAATTCCATCCATTTACCAGCAAATGATAACATTTCGTTCTTCTTCATGGCTGCATAAAATTCCATTGCGTATAGATACCACATTTTCTTAATCCATTCGTCAGTGCTGGGGCATCTTGGCAGTTTCCATAACTTGGCTATTGTGAATAGTGCCGCAATAAACATGGGTGTGCAGGTGCCTCTGGAGTAACAGTATTTTGGGTATATCACCAAGAGTGGTGTTACTAAGCTACACATTTTTTTAACCACTGTATTTTTGAGTGTTTTATAAAATAGCTTAGTCTGAATCCTACTGAATGCTGTCCTGGTTGGTGGTGAAGTCACATTACAATTTTCATGGTTGTTTACTTTTTAATAATCAAGGTAAAATTAAATGATTAAAATTCAATATTAAATCCTGAATCTTGATTCAGTCATTCTATATTTCAAGGAAAATTTCAAGTTTATCATTTTAAGGGATTTTTTTTTTTTTTTTGGTGGTAATGCTAGAACCCAGGGCCTCCTGCATGCTAAGCACATGCTCTATCACTAAGCAAAATCCCCACCTAAGGGTCACTTTTTTTTTTTTTTTTTTTTTTGGTGGGACTGACGTTGAATTCGGGGCTTCATGCTTGCAAAGCAGGCATTCTACTACTTGAGCCATTCCTCAGTCCATTTTGCTCTGGTTATTTTGGAGGTGAGGTCTTTCAACTATTTACTCCAGCTGGCTTTGACCCATGATCCTCCTGGTATCAGCCTCCCAAGTAGCTAGGAATACAAGAGTGAGCCACCAGTGCCCAGCTAAAGAGCACTTCTTTAAATCTAAAAATCATCACTGTTGAATTGATTGGCAATAAATTAGGGGCTTTACTGAGGGTTACACAAATGTATAAGGTCTGAACCTGACCACCTCATCTCTAAGTACCTTTTCCCTCTCCCTCTAAACTTCATCTATTTACCTCTTCAGTGCCACCTTACAAAGTCTCTAATTCAAGTATAATTTTCCCTTCTCTGATCACAAGCTTCCCAACTTGCTTGATTAGCCCCTCCTATTCTCTTGTGACCAGGCTGACAAGAGGCTACATCTAAGCAAATGCTTCCATAAGTCCTATAGCAGGACAGGGAGAAGGGGCAAACTGCAAACACCGAGCTGGTACTTAAAGCTTGTGTAACATCTGCTCATATTTTACTGGCAAAAGCAAATCACATGGCCACATTTATCTTCAAGTAGACAGGGGGAAGCAGGCTGTACAAAGAATGTAACCTTACCATGTACAGAGAAAGAGGTGAACCAGCACAGGTTAATTAATCACATTAATTACGTTATTAAGCCTTGCACAGGCTTAAATTAATCAGGACATTAACCTTTTGGCATGAACCCAACTAATCATTTTCTCCATGTCAACAAACTCTTATAAGAAAGCAGACTGTGTTTACCTTATCTACAACACCTTCTGGTCAACTTAGGTATCCTTCACACAGCCATTTCAAACCTTTTTCAACTTCCTTAAACCTCCAACTCTTCCAACTCCACACTCACTTATCTAGTCTTCTACTTTATTGATGAAAAAAAAGGCATAGTTAGAAGGCAAATCTTTCCACCCCCAAATTTACAAAGCTATCTCCATTTTAATTTCATGTCCAGAAGAAATAAGCATTACTAACAGAATCTAGGGAAAATGACCCATGAAAAATGCTCATTACTTTTTTCCATTAACGATTAACCCCTGATAAATATGAGGACTAACATATGGATAATGCTGGCAAAATACACCGAACCAGGAATCTGACCTAGAATCTGTGGAAAAAAAAAAAAAAACTGACACAAGCTTACCTTGGCAATGGAAAGGCAATTTCCAATCATTTTCCTGACATGTATTAAACAGACAGATTCATTTGCTACAGTAACTCACAATATACAGTTTTATAGAGATGTTCTTCCAATTTCCATTTAAGGGAAAAAAATTAAAATTCCGATTATTAGAGCTTCAAAACTTTCTATCATCAAATTTGTGTCTGGGATCCCCAACATTCTGGATAGTGAATAGGATTCATAGGACTCAGCATAGAGCTGTACTCATAGATGATATTTTTTACAGCAATGTCTTATGAATATACAACCTGAGCATAATGGGAAAAGACACAGGTAAAGTCTAGACGAATCGTGTAGGTTTCCTTACGCTCTCTCCCTCCCAGAAGGGTTCAAACAGAATACACTCTTCCCCAACTAGGAATCTGAAGCAGTAAGCATGTATCTATCGCTTGTGCCCTGGGAGCCCAGGACTTTTATGGAAGCTGGTAATTTCAGCATAAAACATTGTGTTCGGCATAAATTCTTAAATGGGAACATTCTCATAATCCAAGTTCGCAGACGCCAAACAAGGGCTTTTAAGGCTTTCGATTTAAGTATGACCTAACCCCTGCCTTCTCTAATACAGGATGTGCAACTAAGTTGTTTTAAAAGTTGTGTTTTTCAGTAGACTGTGCAAACGAAAGCCCGTATTTAATTTTCTTTCTTCCCCCGTTTTTTTTTTAATTCTTGGGCTGCCGTTTTTCAACAGCGGAAAGGGATACAATCTCCTTTCAGGTGCCCAGGCTCAAAACGCAGGACAGCACTTCACAGTTTTGCTATGCATCACCCTCAATTCTAAGCCCTTCAAAGGTACGAACCCGCTCAATTCTCCCAACTACTTTATAAGATAGGTTACTATCACTTCCCGCATTTGATACTCGAAACTTAGACTCGCATTAGTCCCGCGGCCAGTAAGTGCTGGATGGGGACGCGGACTCCAGCCCACCCAGCTGCCAGCAAACCGCGTCACTCCGGTCACTAACAAACGCACTCCAAGTGAGTAAAGACAAAACACACCGAGGTGACATCGCGCGAGCACGGAAGGGCGTCGGTCACCGCGCGGCCGGCACTCGGCCGCACGCCTTGGTCCCTGGCTCCTCTCGTCGCCGCCCAGACACCGCGCGGGCCAGGCGTCACTCACGCAGCGGTGACCGCCCGGCGCCCGCACGAATCAGCAAAGCGAGGACGATAGGAGCCTCTCTTCCAAGCCCTTCAAAGGAGGCCTAGGTCGCCGAAGCGAGGACTGAAGGGTCAGGGCAACCCCGCAACAACAGCCCCAACTCACCCCGCCCGGCCGGGACGCCGCTTCTACAGTCAGCAGCGACTGCGCGTGCGCAGCCGCCCACGAGCCGGCGGAGGCGGGGCCTGGGTCCCGGACCAGTTCGGGAAGCCCTGCTGGCGGCGCTCGTCAGGAGGAAAGGAGGGGCGGGGCCAGTGGGAGGGGCGGGGCCTGCTCGCGCCGCGCCTGCGCTCACAACATAGCCTACCAGCCAGAGACTCCCGACTGGACGGAGATACTTGTTTGTAGTGATTCTGGCCCAAGTACCACCTGGGAGCCTTCTCCGACGTCCCTCTGTCACCCTCCTCTGAGCTCTAACGTCACATCCAACATGCATTAGATATTATTTTTGCTTTTTGTCATTACCGTCTTCGCTCCCTAACTAGACAGTACATTGTTTTGACCCACACCTACACTAAGTTGCGTTATCTATTAAAGTGATCTGCACCGTGCATGCTGAGTAACAGCAGTTGATTTGAAAATATTCTGACTGAATGATAGATAACGTCAATGCCAGTTGAAAGGCTCTAGAAGCCTCCTAGTCTTTCATAAGGGACAGGTTGTGGCTTAATGGGCAGAGCATTGGATTAGAAATTAAAAGATACCGGAGTTAAACCCCAAAACTCCGACTTTTACCTTAAAATTCTAATTCATTTGTCTTATTTCCATGGAGAAACTTGGCAAAGGAGGTTATACTTGTTTGTATTGTATTTACAGGAACCATTCATTTGACAAATACGATTGAGTACAAAAATGCTGGTCATTGTGCTAAGTATGGGGTACCTAACAATCTTTTATGGTAGGGGATTGTGTTTACCCAGGGAAAAGAAAATGTTGACCAATTAAGAATAGCTTGTTTTGTAGTGTATTTGAAGTCAAAGTTGACTAATTCATAATAAAAAGTTTTCATGTATTTTAATGTGGATTTGCAATAGAATGTGGAGGAAAAAGATGTGCAAACCTCAGCAAATCTAGATGGTTTGAAATCATGTTTCATTAAAAGAGGTTTTAAATGTATCATATATTATTAGAGCCCAATTTATAGAAAAAAAGAGGGAACTAGATTGAATATGGAAACTTAGTTTCTCTTCCCAATAAAATGAAATTTAGAACAATGCAAACCATTTTACAATATTTAAAATTTTTTTAGAAATGACAAAATTCCAAAGCTATCTTGATTTCCCTGAACATGAACAAAATCTCCAGAAATTACAACCTCCATTTCAAACCTTGGCATACATTAAGGAAAATTAATTAGCATTAAGCTTATTTTTCTGATGTTCTTCAAATTATCTTCTCACTTCATTGAAGTAAAATCCACTATTTGGTGAATTCTTCAAAGAAAAGATCATTTGAAATGTTACACAGCACATACATTTTTATTGCTTTTACAAAGAAATTCTGAGAAAATAAAAACACATATTCACTTAAAATCATCTGTGTATTTGAATGCTAAACATCTTATTTTCTATCATTGTTCTATCTGGAAATGTGTGGAATACTTTCTAAGCTATAGCCTTCCTCCCCATTCCAAAAAATTACTGAGCTACATCCCAACCCTATCCCTATATATCTCTTAAATTTCTGTCATGCGTATTTATTTATTTATTTGCTTATTGATTGATTGATTGATTGGCAGTACTGGGATATGAACTCAGAGCCTTACACTTGCAAGGCAAGCACTCTACCACTTAAGCCATACCTCCAACACCTCCAACTCTTTTGTTTCAGTCTGGACAGGCCTTAGACCTTGATCCTCCTACCTAAACCTTCTTTGTAAATTGGGATTACACACATATACCACCATGTCCAGCTCTATCCAATGTATTTATTAAAATATATTTTATTATAAAAGTAACATGCTATTTTAACCAAGAATAAAGTTCTGTATCTTCTTTCCACTGTCCAATTTCCTCTCCTCAAAGATAATATTTCATCACTTCTACTTGATATCTCTTATGTATAGTTTCAGGAATTGTCTTTTATATACAATATACATTTGTACCAAATTTTTATACGACTACCGTTTATTAAAAAATGAATGCATCTAGAGTGCAGTCTACATTCTTCTTTACAAGTTGACCTTTTTCCATTGGACTGAGTCCCAAATCAGCCTCATTGTCTTGACTAGCTGCTTAGGACTAGTGAATGGATGATATTTTTTTAATCAGTCCCTTGTTAGTGTTCATTTATCTTTGCCTACTCATGCAAATGTTTTCAGGGGATTTGCTGCTAGCAATGGAAATGCTAAGTCAATAAATGTTCATGTTAAGTTTCAATAGAAATCCTTTTGGAAAAAAAAGTCCCATGAAAGGTCATATGTTTCCTGATTCTTCCTTTTATTTATCTGTTATACGGGGGCTTGAAGTGAATTTGGAAGAAAAGATAGGAAAATTGCCAAGTTTCTTTTAAAAAAATCCCTTCCATTTCTACAGTCTTTCATTTGCACATGAGTTATGACAAAACACAAAATGAATTGTTTGAGAATTAATGATTCACATCAACTCAATACTAATAGACCTTTCCCAGAAGACTTAAACTATTTCTCCCTTCATTGGCCCCACTTCAAGCCTTGTTGTCTCTCATTGTTTGTCTTGAACAATGATCAAGATTCACTTTTGGCAAGATATTTTTCTTTCATAACTCTTAAATAAACCAAGTTTGGCACTATGCTAGATATGGGAGCACATATTCATCCTTTCAGGAAAAATGCTACAGAAAAGTATTTCTCAAATAATAATTAGTTATGAACTCTGGAAAGAGAATTATTTAGTAATATTTCTTTCAAAAGCATAAATAAATCAGATTTAAAGTGATTCATTGAGGCCAGGTACTTGTGGTTTATGATACACAAATCAGATTGGGGATTTTCCAAAGAATACATGAATCCACATTGTATGAGCACATCTTAGTTCAAAGTTAATCCCCAAAATAAATTACACAGAGACTATGATTAAACTAATGATTGGGAAAAGAATAATCTCATTGTCATAGAAATATGAAGTATTTTATTAATTGTTGAATTATCGAAAACTAAGTAATTTAAAAAGCCATGCTTAATGAAGTTGAATTATTCCTTGCACATACATTTTAATAATGTTTTAATAATGCCATTTTAAATAAATATCTTACTTTTAACTGTGAATCATAAATAACTTCTAACTGTAAATTAATTTTAAATTAAATACAGCCTTCATTATGCTTGGGAACCAATTTGAGAAAAAACTTAAAGTAATGGCAAACTTTCGTGGTAGGCTGAATAATGCCCAACCCACTTTAAAACCGTCCAAGTTCTAAAACATGGAATTTGTGAATGTGTTTCTTTACTTGGCACAAGGGACTTTTCAGATGTTATTAAATTAAGTGTCCTGAAACTGAGAGATTATCTTGGATTATTTCAGTGGTCTGAATGTAAAGACTCTTAGATCAGGGAGATGGGAGGGTGAGAAGAAAAGATGTTATGATAGAAAGCAGAGTCAGAGTCAGAGAGACTTGAAGATGCCAAGATGCTGGCTTTCTAGATGAAGGACCAGGAGTCAAGGAATGAGGCAACCTCTGGAAGACATGAAAGGCAGGTAAAGAAAATCTTCCCTGGAGCCTTCAAAAGATATGCATGATTGCAGACACATTGATTTTTAGCTAAGTGAGACTGCTGATCTTCAGAATCGAAGATAATAAATTGGTGTTGTTATAAGTCAGTAAATTTATAATAATTTGTTACTATAGCAATGGAACGCTAACACACTTTATAAACCAGTCAAACTTAACACTGACAAAGCAAGGTCAAATATGGACAGATTATATCACCAAATCTTGTAGGGAAAAGATATGTTGAGCCAGGTATTAAAGTTAAAAACAATTCTTAGAAAAATACCTATGTAGTCTGCTTTAAACAAATCCAATGAATGAAAATCATGCTGTACATTGAAATATTTTTGCTTTAAGAAATATGATCATTGTCACGTTTTCACCTTTATACTTTTAAACCCCTTCTTAAAGCAATCAAAGACAAAAGGGAAGTACACCCTTAGTTTTCTTTTTGAATGAGTTCAAGTTTTAAAACAGGCTGCGCTTCTGCCTGCAATTGCGCCTTGAGGCACTACCGCGTCCCGCCGGTGACGGGCTGGAGGGCGCTCAAGAGCAGCGCCGGGGCGCTGGGCGGAGCAGGAGGAGCAGGCGGTGGGCTGCCCGCGGCCCGCGGGAGCGCGGGGAGATGCTGTCCCGGCTGGTGCTCAGATCTGCGCACCTCTCGGCTCTCCGACCCGGGGAGACTGCACCCTACGGTGAGCTTGATCCCCGGGAAATGGGGACGCGCCTAATCTCGGATCCCAGGGAGGGGATGACATTGTTGGGGTGCTCGCTTCTTTAGTCTTCCAGCTAAAAGTGAAGCCATCATGCTTGGCACCTAGTTATGTAGGCCCTTCTTTCAGTGTTTGTTCCTTCGGGTCCCGGTCCATCCGCGCCTGGGGACCGCAGCGAGAGGAATAAGCGCGGCAGCCGGGCGTTCATGTTGTGGAATGTAAGGGCATTATGGTAGCGTGCTTGTTTGAGCAATTAAGGTCAAATCGCGACTCAAAAGAGCCAGCAAGATGACCAGTCCCTGCTGGGGAGAAGTGTAATGACAGGCTCAGAGTTGTGAGTTACTTGTAACTCACGTTTATTTGTTTTACATGCCTCAACTTTTATCTGTGGACACAGCTACAAGGGCCTAGTATAATACAGGACCCTCCACCATTCTTTCTTAATGTACTCTGTAGTTTAAGATGGACTTTCCGTGCAAATTGTTTCCTTTTACCTTTATCCCGTAAGAGTTTGCGGAGGGGTGGGGAGAATAACCTAATTTGCCCGGTCTTCTGCTGGGGATGCAGCCTCTGCACTTAACTTCACCTTTGCTGGGGGAAATACACAAGTCAGCCCAGTGAGTGGAGGAAGGCTGCAACAGAAAAGAACAACTGATTCCACCTGAGTTGGAGAAAATATTAGAGACAGGTGCCTGTTTCATTTAAAAAGTATTGCAGATATTAGTTATGTTCTCATTAAAACAAACCCAAGGGCTGGTGGAGTAGTTCAGGTGGTAGAGCTCCTGCCTAGTAAGTGTGAGTTCAAAGCCCAGTACTTTCAAAATAATAATAATTATTATTATTATTACTAAACCAAACCCAAAACGCACAGCACAAGTACCCCTTTACATCTTCTCCAACCCACTCTCCTTCATAGACGTAGTTTGGTACAAACCATTTTGAACATTTTTCCACGAGTATACATAAATAAAAGTACATATAAGATACTGTGTGTTCTGCACACGATTCTCTGTACTTTGTCTCACTTAGGTATTCACAAGCTTTTTAGGGTTACACATATCCCAAAATATGGATTTACTACCACTTATTTAAGCAGTCACTTATTGATAACCGTTTTGGTTTCCAATTTTTGCTAGTATAAATCATATACACTTTGTGTATATGAGCAAGTCCTTTACTAGAATAGATACCTAGAAGCAGAATTGGTAAAGGGGAGGGAGTTTAACAAGTGATGTTTAACTGGGTCTGAAAGAACATATTTCCTTCAGAAGGAATGATGTAAGTCATAAAGAGAAAGCAGAACTAGATATTTATTAATTGATTATTAATTACCAGTGTAGAAAGAGCAAAATTAATGATTATTCAAGTTAGGCCCAAAAGGTAAAAATCAGGTATAGTCAGTATTACTCTTTAAAATCCTTTAAGAGAACCAGATATCATCTCTTAAAAAATCCCAAATAACCAATTTTTTTCAGTGTCAGAACAGATCAATGTTTCTTTGGTTGAATAACAGATCAAGTGATTGATTTACAAGCAGAGTATATGTTGTACAAAACAAAGAATTAAAAAAAGAAAACATTAAGTAGTATGGAGTTAGGGACACATACAGGGGCGGGGCGCTGGGATTCTTCAAGGACACGGGATTTTCAAGCTGCAAGGCTTCAGGATTTCACTGAGTGGAAAGGCAAGAACTCCACTCTTCATGATTTTTCCCTTCCTCCACCTTTCAACTGGGTGTAGCTAAATTATAGAAAGTTAAATGTCACTTTGATGAAGAAAAACATACCTACCATTGATCCACTTTCACAAGCTTTTTGCTGTGATTATGTCTACAAATGGCCAGAATCGAATTTAATGTAACTTATAAAATTACCAGTTTATCAGTTCCTAACAGTGAGAAACAGAAAAAGTGAATTCAGCTACTGACTCTTTAACTGAAATTGTTTGATTCCAGGTGTTTTAGATCTAATCTTGCAACAAAAATGAACCAAATTTTCAAAACTTGAAGATGGAAAGACATGTATTTTTTAAATTTACAGTTTATACAATTTGCAATTTTAACCATTTAGTGTACAATTTAGTGGCATTAATTATATTCTCAATGTTATGTAACCACCACTCTTTATTTCCAAATTTTTTCGTCACCACAAACAGAAATTCTACCCATTCAGCAATAACTCCCCATCTCTCCTCCCTCCAACTCCTAGTAACCTCTAGCCTAACTCTGATTTGCCTATTCTAGGTGGATCATATGAGTGAAATTATGCAATATATTTGCCCTTCTGTGTCTGGCTTATTTCACTTGGCGTAATGCTCTCAAGGCTCACTCGTATGGTAGCATGTGTTGGAACTTCATTCCTTTTAAATGACTGAATATTCCATTACATGTGTATGCCACATTTTATTTGTTCACCATTTGTTGATGAACACTGGGTTGTTCCACCTCTGGCTGTTGCATCTAATGCGATAAGCATCAGTGGACAAGGATCTGTTTTGAGCCCTGTTCAGTTCTTTTCAGTGGGACTGCTGGGCAAATTATATTTTTAAAACTATTACGGGTGCTATTCACTTTGCTATCACGAGAATTGCACACGAAAATAGAAATGTCTGGTTTATACAGGTAACTTTTTTGCAACTTCCTTTGGCGTTTCTCAACTGCTGTATCTAATAAACGGAACTGCTAAGCATTTCTTGTGGACCATGGCACAAGACATTGAGGACACTGTGAACTGAGAAAGTTTGGGTCTTCGATTCAGTTTTCCAACTAGTTTTTTCCATACACTTCTATATTTTGAATAACTTATTAAATACCACTATATAAATGTACCACTTGTAATATAACCATTGCTTTATTAATGGGATTCCTAGCTTATTTCTAGTTTTTTAAAACATATTGTGAAGTCAATGAACCTCTATCTCCATCTCTGTTTGTTCATACTTACAAAGATTTATTTCACAAAATCAATCCTTTTCATTTTTAAAAGTCTGATACAAAGTTTTGTTTAATGCTTGTGTCTCCTTAATTAGTAGTGGACCTGGGCAACTTTCCTTATTTTATTGGTCATTTGTATTTCTCATGTCAGTTCATGTATTTTCAATTGAGATTTTGTCCTTTTCCTAGTTACTTGTATGGGCTCTTTCTACTGCATCAATATTAATCTATCTTTTCTATGTTACAAATGTATTTTTCCTCCTGCCACTTGTCTTCAAATTGTTCATCGTACTTTTTCCATATTTAAATTTAGCACTTGTATAAGGACAAACCTTTACAACTTTTGATTTCTATGTCATGTTTAGAATAGTCATCCTCTCCCAAGATTTAAACTATACAACCATTTTCTATTAATTACTTTTGTTAGCTTCTAGATTTACATTTGTAATTTATTTAAGCATAAGGAATGAGGTAGTAGCCTACTTAAAGTTTTCTACTAATCAGTAGAAATATTTATTCAATCAAATATCATTTCCCTGTTAAGGTAAGATCACTGTCGGTAGATACAGAATCCTCATTTAAGGTATATTGTGAGTCTCTCTTTTCTTTTTTCTGCCAGGGCATCAAACTTCCTGGACTCAGACCTTTAAGCCTTTCCTTTGCCATTTTATAATACTTAAATTTCATGTGTATTTAGCATTTTAAACAAAATTTAAAACATTTTTAAAACATTTCCCATTCCCACTCTCTTGAAATACTTGCCTGAGTCATTTTGTTGTGTAATAGAATACTAACAACTTTCTTCCTTTTTAAAAATCTCTTGCATTTTCTTTTAAAAATTTTAATTTATTTTTAAATTTATTTTGTGGTACTCGCTTTGAACTCAAGGCCTACACCTTGAGCCACTCCACCAGCCTTTTTTTGTGATGGATTTTTTTGAGATAGGATCTCGCGAACTATTTGCCTGGGCTGGCTTTGAACCGCGATGCTCCTGACCTCTGCCTCCTCAGTAACTAGGATCATAGGTGTGAGCCACCAGCATCCAGCCCATTTTCCTTTTAAAAATAATTTTAGACTTATAGAAAATTTTCAAGACAGTTCTACTTACTGTTACCAAACCTCCCTAGTGTAACTATCTTACATAGTATGATCACTGAGGTCAGGAAGGTAGTATTTACATACCACTACTAACTGATCCACAGACTACTTAAATTTCACCAGCTTTCCCATTAACAATCCTTTTTATTACTCCCAGACCCAATCCAGGATCCTACACTGCATTAAGTCATCATGTCTCCTTGGTCTTCTTCAGTCTGTGGCAGTTTGTCTTTATTCTTCATGATTTTGACACTTCTTAGGAGTACTGGCTATTTTACAGATTTTGTTCTGAGATTTTCTTCTGATTAGATGCTTTTTTTGACATGAATAATGAGGAAATACATGCTCTTCTCAGTGCATGGTATCAGGAGATCCAGGAAGTACATGTTTAACCTTCCTCATTATTAGTGCAGTTATCTTTGAATAAAGAACTGGCTGAAGTAGTATCTTTCAGTTTTCTCCCTTTGTAATTAGTGTCTCATGGGAAAATAACTCATTTCTTATCATAGTTTCACCCACAAAATCTAATATCCATCAGTTGTTTTTACCTGCAACAATTATGACTGGAGTGTCTGCCAACAATTTTCTGTTTTGAGCATCCTTTCTACATTTGTCAGTGGGATTCCAATATAAAGAAAATCATTCTTTCTTCCTTTTTTTTTTTATTCTTTGAGTTGTAATCTGTTCCATTCTCTTGTTCTCTAATTTTGTTGAAGAGAAAACATGAGATAATAAGAAAAACATAGTGGTTTTGATGTTTGAGATAAAAATAGCTATAGAGACATTCTTAGTGTTGTCTCCATGCACGTGTATTACAACCCACATTGGTTCATCTCTACCAGACCTCTTCATTACTTCCTAGTCACCTTCCCATAGTGGCCACTGCCAGTTTAAGATTACTGTATTTGTTCCTCTACAGTGAGCCCATCAACCACATTCGTTTTAGGTTTCCTTCCCTTTCCCTATTCCTTCCATGCAAGTTCTCCACTAAGTGTGTGACTCATGTCAACAATATACTGTATTTGTTTCAGGTCTATAATCCACATGAGGGAGAATATGTGACTTTTGGGCCTTCTGAGCCTGACTATACTTACAATGATGTTCTCTAGTTCCATCCATGTGCTTGTGAATGACAAAATTTCATTTTTCTTTGTGACTGAATAAAATTCTATTGTGTATAAATACCACATTTTCTTAATCCATTTGTTGGTAGTGGGGCATCTTGTCTGTTTCTATAGCTTGGCTATTGTGAATAGTGCTGCAATAAACATGGGTGTGCAGGTGCCTTTGGAATAACCTGAGTCACATCCCTTTGGATATGTGTAACCTGAGTCATAGTCTTTTGGTACTCTAGGAGTGGTATTGCTGGATCATATGGCAGATCTGTGTTTAGTTTTTTAAGAAGCCTCCATATTGTTTTCCAAAGTGGTTGCACTAGTTTGCATTCCCACCAGAAGTGTATGAGGGCTCCTTTTTCCCTGCATCCTCTCCAACATTTGTTGTTGATGGTGTTGTTGATGATACCTATTCTAACAGGGGTGAGGTTGAATCTTAGTGTGGTTTTGATTTGCAATTTTCTTTTTGGCTGGGAACACCAGCCCTTTCTTGAATTGGATATTTTTTTGAGAATGAGTCTAGCAAATTATTTGCCCAGACTGGTTTTGAACCTCCTCCTGATCTCTGCCTCCTGAGTAGCTAGGATTACAGGCATGAGCCACCAGTGCCCAGCTCAGTTATATTCTTGTATCATAACAGGATAGACCTGTGGATTTACCTTATGAGTTACCATCCAATACTGTACTATTATGGTTATTTAATAGATACAGAAGCAGTGCCATTAATACTTATAAGTGTAATTTAAAATGTAAAGTCAGCATATTTAACAAATATATGACTTACTATCTTTACTAACAAGGGGAAATGAAATTAAATTTTTCTTAGTATTATACTTGCATTAGAGTAAGATTTATAAACTGTGTCCATAATTCTATTAGTAAATGCTGAATATATATTCACAAGCTCCTGCTTTAAAGGGCATATGTGTGCATAAGTGGAAAAATTCTTTCTGTACTATATTCACTGTGTGTGTGTGTGTGTGTGTGTGTGTGTGTGTACTGTGGTGATGGTGGTGCTGCTGAAAATTGAATCCAGGGCCTCATGTATGTTAGGCAAGCACTCTACTGCTGAGCTACACTCCAGCTTTACTCACACCAAATGTGTGACTTTCTATACTAAACAATTATCCAGTTCTCTGTGGACACTAGCTTGCTGTCCTACAATTTAACTCTGGACTAACTACCCAGTTATTGAAAACAACGCAGGTTAGGGGCTGTCCACAAGACTGTCCCCACTTCAGTACCAGTTTTAAGTTCAGGCCTCCATATTTCTAGCTAAGTAACTGTAAGTCAAGGTTGCTTATGACCCCTCTTCAGGTTCAGTAATTTCTAGAATGGCTCCTAGAACTCAGGGAAACACCGTCTTCATTTTAAAGGATACAGGTGGATAGCCAGATGAAGAGGTACATGGTATGAAGTCTAGAAGGATGCTGAGCCCAGGAGCTTCTGTCCTCCTGGAGTTGGGATGTGTCATCCACATAGCACATGGTTGTTAACCAACCCAGAAGCTCTCTGAACTCCATCATTGAGGGATTTTAATGGAGGCTTCTTCAAGTAGGCATGGTTGATTATTAAGTCAATCTCCAACCAGTTTCCGCTTCTCAGAGAATGGGGCTGAAATTTCCACATTCTAATCATGGCTTGGTTTTTCTGGTGACCATCCCCATCCTGAAGCTATCTAGAAGTCCATCAAAATTCACCTCCTTAAAACAAAAGAATCATCTATCATCTTGGAAACTTCAAGGGATTTAGGAGTCAGGAACCAGGGTGAAAGAGAAAGTACTAGAGCAAAAGATGATCCTAGAACCCATTACTCAGGAAATTCTAAGGATGTCAGGAATCAGAAGCAGAGTGAATACATTATTTCTGATTATGCCACAAAGCAAAATGTATGCATAGTTTATTAAATTAAAATGAACCTTTTTAGAAAGATGACTAGAAGCAGAGGGAAAATTGTATAAACCCATTCTTTCTAGCTGTTAACAGCAGTGTTACTTTAAACTTGACTAAATTGTTTTATTTTTTTCCAGGCTTGAAGTCAATACAAAGTTACCACAATTTCTGCACTGCTGTTTCTAAGGATGTCACTTATAAGGAACTGAAAAAGCTGTTGAATTACAAAAACATTATGTTAATTGATGTTAGAGAGACATGGGAAACTCTTGAACATGGAAAAATCCCTGGGTCTATCAATATACCATGTAAGTGACATGTGTTAAAGTATTTATAGTCAATAATTTATTGTATCCAAAATCTAACTGAAGTCCTTAACATTTTCTTTCAGTGGATGAGGTAGGTGAAGCTCTACAGATGAACCCAAGAGACTTCAAAGAGAAGTATCATGAAGTAAAGCCATCCAAAGCTGACAATCTAGTGTTTTCTTGCTTAGCTGGAGTGAGAAGCAAGAAGGCTATGGACACAGCAATATCTCTAGGCTTTAAGAGGTATGTAGATAAAAGAAAAACTGAATTCAAGAATGTGTATTTTGTAAGAATGAAGCCCTGAGTTCAAACACCAATGCTCCAACACCCCCCTCCCCAGCAATTGCCTAAGAATGTGTATATATTACAATGTTTCAATACATTCCAATAGACAATTTGGGGCAGGGGGTGTATATCAGTGATAGACTGTGTGCTTAGCATTCACAAGGTCCTGGGTTTAATCCCCAGCACCACAAAGGAAAAAAACTTCTTATAATTACTATTAAGAAAGGCAGGAGAATAGCCTAAATCTTTCCATCTTAAGAAAAAGCAATACAATCTTTTAAAAAGGCTCAAGAGTCTAAATAATATGGTGAGTAGCTGTTGCATTATTCATCTCTACAGTTACTACCAACATTCTGTTTTAAAATAGGAGAAAGGGGCTGCAGAGTGGCTCAAATGGTAGAGTGTCTGCCTAGAAAATGCAGCACTGAGTTCAACTGCTAGTACCCCAAAAGAAACAAATCATGATAAAATATATATAACTTTAGGTTTTTGATGTTTGTTTTCAGTGCTCAACACTATGCTGGAGGATGGAAGGAATGGGGAACCTATGAATTTTCAGAGAAGAAACAAGGAAATTGAATTTTGGAATACAAGTTGACTCTCCTTGTGTACATACAGCCTAGGACAGTGGAATGAGCAGAAGAAAAATCTAGTCCTGGCATTAGGACTATGATCCAAAGACTATGACTAGCATGGTAGTGACATAATTTAAAATTTAAAAAATTAAAATGATTAATTTAATGATGACAGAAATCAGAACAGGGGTTATCTCTCAGGTAGAAAATTAACTGGAAAACACAAAAAGAATTTTCTAGGGTGGTGCACATGTTCTCTTATGACATACACAGGTACATATATCAAAATTCACTGAAGCAAACTCAAAAATGTATGTTTTTCTATAAGTAACTACGCCTCAATTTAAAAAGGAAAATAGAATCGGTGCCAGTGGGTCATGCCTGTAATCTTAGCTACTCAGGAGGCAGAAATCAGGAGGATCACAGTTTGAAGCCAGCCCGGGCAAATAGTTCTCAAGACCCTATCTCAAAAAAACCCTATCACAAAAAATTGGTCTGGTGGAGTAACTCAAGGTGAAGGTCCTGAGTTCAAGCCCCAGTACTGCAAATAAATAAATAAATAAATAAAAGAAAAATAGAAAAAGTATTTAAATGCGACTCCCCGTAACATGCATTTATTTATTTCTTTGGAATATTAAGTCCTACATTTGTTAGTGTGCTAGTGCACTGGTGGCAAAATAAGCTGTATTTTCTTATCTGCTTCTTCTGACCCATCTGTTTTTACTTTCATTCATGTAGTCATTTAGATCATGTAGGACCAAATAACTAACTCTAAGGACTCACTTGACTTTATCTAAATGAGATGGAAAGCCATCGGAGAATTGGGAGATGTTATCACAAGTTCTGACAATGTCAGTCTGCTTTCTTGCAGACCAAGCTACCTACAAGAACTAGAAAAGATTGAACACAAACACACACACGGTTTAAAGGTCTTATAATTACTGAGGCAGCAGGATTTGGAAAGCTATGCTCTCAGGGAGAAATAAAGTTGTAAAAGGTAAACCTGGAAAATTCACCAGCCCTCATAAAAACTTAAGATGAATTTGAATCAACTAAATCAACTGAATGAATGAAGGTGATCATCCTAACACCCTAAGGGCCTACCAGAAGTAAACCACAACAAAGTAGCCAAGGATAATACAGTTTGGATTTTATGTTAAGTTTCAAGTGTTACCAAATATTCTTCTACAGATTATTTTTCATCCATTTAAAAATATAACAAATAATCAGGCCTAGGTAATTATTTTCTGAATAGGACTTCAATTGCCCACGTAACAAGAACAAGAATTGACAATTGGGGCTGTATCAAATTAAAATATTTCTACACATCAAAAGGTAGTTACTAGAATCAAGAGACAAACCACAAAATGGGAGAAAAATCTGCCAACTGTTTAATATATAAGGGATATTCAGAATATACAAACAGCTCAAACTAAGTGGCAGAAGAGTAAAGAATCCAGTTAATAAATGGGCAATGGGTTAAATAGTTCTCAGAAGAAATACAAATAGCTAATAATGCGTGAAGAAATGTTCAAAATCCTTAGCCATAAATGAAGCACAAATCAAAGTTACAATGAGATTTCATCTCACCCCAGGTTAGATTGGCCATTAAGAAAACAAATGCTGGAGAGGATGGCGGAGATAGGGCATGGGTGGGAAAGACATCCTCATACACTGTTGGTGGGAATGTACACTAGTGCAACCACTATGGAAATTAGTGTAGAGATACCTCAAAAGAGTAAAAACAGACCTACCGTATGACCCCACCATACTACTTTGGGCATGTTATCTGAAGAAGTGTTAATGTACAAAAAAGATTATCTGCATACACATGTTTATTGCACCTCTGTTCACCTTGGGATCAGCCAAGGTGCCTAACAACGAAGATGTGTGTGTGTGTGTGTGTATACAAAATGGACTATTACTCAGCCACAGAGAAAAATGAAATTATGTCACTTGCAGGAAAATGGATGGAACTGGAGATCATCATGCTGAGTGAAATAAGCCAAGTTCAAAAGGCCAAATATCACATTCCACCTCATTTGTGAAACCTATCCCTAAAATGGTGATCTCAACAATGGGACATTAATGCATGTGGGGGACTGTTTGGGAGGGATCAGCAAGGTGGAAGTATGAAGAGGAAGGAAGTACTCTGCACGTATACGTAAGCGAGGAGCATGATGAAACCCACCAAACTTGATTTGAAAGGGGAAAAAGGGTAGAATGGGAATATAATGGAGGGGATAAACTTGTTCAAGGTATACTGTATGCATGTATGGAATTATTGCAGTGAAATCTCATTAATGTATGATAAATCAGTAAGTCCCCTCCCCCCAAATAAAACAAACAAACAAAAAAGTACACCATTCTTGGTTCAAGGCCAGGCAAAACCAGGTGGTAGGCCAGACATGACCTATAGGGCATTGTTTATGGTTAATTCAGCCACAGCCACAAACTATCCCTATAATTTTTCATACAAATGTTAAGAATTCTATTGAAACTTTACAGGTGGAGCAGTAAGTACTATATCATGACTGAGAAATAAGGAAAAAAGAGACAACAGAAACATTCATAGATCTATCTATATGCATTTCAGAACCAACGTTAATATAACTATGATTAATATATTCTGTAACTTAGGTGACAAAAGGAAAAATTTATCAAAACAATAAAAACACAAAAAAATCAAATAGAAACTCTAGAATGTAAAAATATAGCAACTGAGCTAAGCTCAATTGCTCATGCCTGTAATTATATAAGCTCGGGGCTGGGGAAGGAGGACTGAAAGTTTAAGGTCAGCATAGGCAATTGAGATTGATCTGGTTTCAAATTAAAAATTTAAAAAGACTATCTCGAAAAAACCCATCACAAAAAATAGCTGGTGGAGTGGCTCAAGGTGTAGGCCCTGAGTTCAAGCCCCAGTACCTCAAAAAGAAAAAAAAGACTAGTAATATATCTTAGTGTTAAAGCGTGCTTACCAAGCATGAAGCAGGCCCTGGGTTCAATCCTCAGTACCAGGGGAAAAAAATTAAATACCACAGACAGTAAATGGGTTTAACAGATCAGACACACCTAATGATAGCACTAGTGAAAATGGGAAAAATTAGAGGTACACATATTAATATGGATGACTCAGTGTTGAGAGAAAAAGCAAATTATAAAATATTTCTTAGGCATATGGACTATATAGTGTATATAAATAATGAAAATAATAAATACCAAATTCAGAATGGCTCCATTAGGAGAAGAGAAAGGAACACATAGAAGTTAAACAATATTGCTAACATTGTAATATGCCTGGTGGGTAAACAAGTACTTGTTACTTGTTTTCATGGGATAGGGAATTTTATCCCCACTTGGACATGCTTAAGATTATACAATACCTTTAGATCCCCGATACCTTTCTTATTTGTTGGATACAGGGTCTCCCTATGTAGCCTTGGATGGCCTTAAAACTTGCAATCCTCCTGCCTCAGTCTCTGGAATGCTGGAATTATAGGTACCTGCCACCATGCCTGATTTGATACTTTTGTTTAAAGAAAGCATGATAAACAATATATTCTATTAACCTAAGTATAACTGTACTTATATGTCTTTTTGAAGCAAAAGGATAAAATATTTTCTTAGATCAAATTTACAAACACTATTTTAGTTGATTATTCTGAAGTAAAAATTTAAGTTATTTTTTAAACTATATTGATTTGTACAACAAAACTCTAGTATTAAGGTCTGTAGTGTCAAAGGCCTCAAAACATAAAAATATAGCATACATTTCAATACATCAGTTAACAAGTAGCTGTTTTATTCCAATCATGGAAGAGTATCACTTTTACTTTAATACAAGGGTAGATCAAGTTTTGGAAATGGGGCTGGGGTTGTGGTTCAAATGGTAGAGCATCTGCCTTGCAAGCACAAGGCCTTGGACTCAAAATCCCAGTACCATCACCATCCCCCAAAGTTAGAAATGTAGAAAAGCTAGATTTGTAATCTCAGTGTGATCTTTTGGTTCTAAGATAATGTACCCTTTTGCTATCTAGTATGTATGTGTATGTCTGTGCGACAAGAACTGAGAAATTTTGTATTCTTAAAGACAAATAAGCCACACATAGTGCCACACTGTAATCCCAGCAGTTGGGAGGCTGAGGCAGGATTATAAAGCCTTAAGAGACCATATCTCAAAATACAAACACGTAAGTGAGTACAATTGAAAAAGTGAGTGATTCTCCCACCACGTAGTAAAATATACTGTTCCTAATTTGAAAGGTCAGCAATTTATTAATAGAAAAAAAAATTGGGTCACCACTTTTCAGTGCTACACATTTCTCCAAGAGGAAGGACAAGGATGAGGGAAAAGGAGAGAAATTAACACCACAATGCTACGATTATCTCTATTATCACTGTGTAAATCTGTACAATTTGGTACTTGTTTAAGGCAGTTGATCTTTTGCGTTGCTGTTTGCATCCATTTAAAATTAATAAAGAAGGCAGGTAAGCCAGGCAGCAGTGGCTTACACCTGTTAATCCTGGCTACTCAGGAGGCAGAGATCAGGATTGCAGTTCAAAACCAGCCTGGACAAACAGGTTGTGAGATCCTATCTCGAAAAAAAAAAAAAAAAAATCACAGAAAAGAACTGTAGGCCCCGAGTTCAAACCCGAGTACCATAAAAAAAAAACAAAAACAAAACGCAGGTTAAAAAAAAAACTTCCAGCTAAACATGAGGCAGGAATGGCATGAGACCCCTTCCAGAAAACAGGAAGATAAAGTGAAATTCTGAATTGAACAGTGAAGTACATAGCTCCCTGTCCTCACTTGTCTCCAAGATCTCTAAAAGCTCAGCTCATACCAACTGAGATAGAAAGTTCCAAGATTCCTCTCTGGAAAATTGACCCATCTCCCCCACAGAAAACAACAACAAAAAAACAGAGAACCAAAAACACTTCAGAAAATGATGTTAGGGGTGAGGTGTCCATTGAAAGTTTTTGGTTGTTCCCTTGCCCTACAATGAAGGCCACCACTGAAATGTCCTACCTATGCACAAAGACCTTCCAATGATTCTCTATGCCTCTCAGATCTAAAGGACTCTGAGACAAGGCAAGATTCTAACTTGAAAGATTATGAACAAACCAAAGCAGGGAAGGGGAAGGAACCTAAAGGAAATGTGTTCATAGAGATAACAAAGAAAAATTTAAAACAACCAAAAAACCTAAATTAGTATCTTTACAATAATACATTGAACTCTCAAACAAGACTTGAATTCCCCACATAAAACACAGAAGTTCCAATATGATCCATTTTACAATGACAACAGTGCTACTTGGAAAAAACAATCAGTCCAGTCTGAAGGACTCAGGAAAATGTCTTCCTGTGAGTGATTTTGAATGAACAAATGACAGATGATTCTGGGACATAAATTAACAGGAAATACAAAGCAAATAAAACAAATTGTAACCAAGGTAATTACTAATTCCAGAAAGACAAAAATATTTTAAAGGGAAATGCAATCAGAGTACACCCATTATCTAATATTATCTATGTATAATGTACACCGAATACAAATTTTAAAAAGTTGTATAATTAAATGATAGAAGTCCCAGTGTAGGGCCAGGGTGAAGAAGGGGAAGAATAGGGGAAACGCATGAGAAAGCAAAATCATCATCTTCCATTGTAGGTAGTATTACAACTGAAAAAAATCAGAAAGGGAGAAGGTAAGCAGAGGAGGCAACATGGTAAAAAGTATTTGGAGCTCAGATGCCCAGGTTTTAAGAATTAGAATTTAATCTAGGTTCTGTCACTTACTTCATCTGTGATTGAATAAGTTGTGCTTAACCTTTCTGTTTCTGAATTTCTTCATCTCTAAAATAAGAATGCTCTGAGAACTGACGTAATAAATGCAGAGAGCATACAACAAACATACTTAGCACAGAGCAAATGCTTAAATAAATGCTGAGGTTAAAAGTTTGGAAATGTGGAAACAAATGTCGGAGAAATGACTAAGTTAAAAGAATGAGTGGGGAATGGAATGAGGTAGGTGGAATGGGACAGGTGTCTAATAGTTTCCTTATGATATAGTAGCACTGTCCAATGCAAGCTATGTTTTTAAATTAAAAAAAAAGAAACAGGAAAATTAATTTGAATGTTTTATTTAATCCTATGTACCCAAAAATATTATTTAAAACATGTAATTTTTATAAACATATATTCAGATTTACATTCTTTTGTACCAAATGAGTACTTTTACATTTAGAGCTTACCTCAATTCAGACTAGCCACAAATGGTAGTGGCTAATCCACAGTGGACAGTGTAGACTGTATTAACTGATCACTTAAAAAAAACAATATATATCAGTAATAGCTGACAAATCACAGGAAGAAACAAACATCCACTATCTGCCTCCTAATGAAAGACTACCACTTTATACAGTAGTCTACCCCCAAAAAACTAACTTGAATGTGTCAAGCTTTTAGATTTAATTATCAACTTACAGAAAATACAGAGGAGAAAAAGAACATGTTAAACGGCATGTCAAGGATGCAATCAGCAAAATTCAGATCATGGGAAACTTAGAAGACAAGGGGAATGTTTTGGGGGAATGGGACAGGGGGACAGTACTGGAGTTTGAACTTATGGCCTTGCACTTGTTAGGCAGGCACTCTAGCACTGAGCCACTCTGCCAGCCCAAAAAGGGGAATTTTTTAAACAAGATGGAGGAAGAATCCATGAGTTAAAAACAAAACAAAAATTGAAGGATTTATCAATGGATGGAAATGGTAGTCCTTATTTAAATCTTGACTAGAGCTAGTTAAATTTTTTTCATATTTACCAGATAACTGAAAACTTGAACTACTTGATAATTTTATTAATTTTAGGCACAACACTTTTATAATTTTTTAAAAGAGATACTTTTCATCTATTTGTAGATGAAATGATACAATGTCTGAGGTTTGCTTCAAAATAACTTGCAAGCTGGAGACAGTAGGTGGAAGTTTAGAAATCAAACTGGCTATGAACTGATAACTGTGGATGCTGAATGATAGGTACATGGAACTTCACCACAGTTTTCTCTGCTCTTGTATGTTGTTTTAAATTTTCCACAAAAGGTTGCAGACAAAACTAGGAGACATAACACATGAATTTTAAAAATTAACTTAAAAATATAGATAAGCTTAAAGAAAAAAATACATAATTGATTGTGACAACCACTCTGCCCATCCAACTCAAGCCTAACATTAATTCCCTCAGACCTGAGGAGTTTTGTTTTCTTATTTCTTACCCTTCTGAAAGCTTAAGAGAACTATTTTTGGTACTGACTTTATAATGTCTTCTTTCCAGCTCTCTGATACTCTCATAGGAAGGACTTTCTTTAACATCTATTTATAAACCATTTGAAATTATCCCTTGACAAAGTATAGAAAGGTTTAACATAATACTTAACTAAAGAAAGATCCTCAGAAAACAACATAAGGTAAAGTCAAAAGGATGAATTGAAGACACTAGTCAATATAGCTGGAGAACTTACTTTTATTCTTGCAGTTTTATACTAGAAAATCATTTAATAATCCACTTTCACAATTGATTTATAAAAAATTGAATCCTTAAATTGTACATTAACATCCTATGATTCCAAGTTGTATTATCACTCTCCTTCAAGTCTGAAGAAAATGATAAATTTACTAAGTTCCACAGACAGCACAGTCCCACTGACACAACATTTAGTGTGAAGTTCTACACTCATATGAGAATTAAGAATAGCCAGTCTCAAACTGGCTTGAAACCTGATTGTGTTTCTGGCGCAGGATACCTGCAGTAAGTCTGTGAGTCCACACTAAGACACAAAATTAAAGTAGGGTGTATGTATCTCAGAAAAAAACTTTTCACAGTAGATTAAAAACTTTCCGAAATTTCAACTGTTTTATGGTGTTTTATCCAATGAAACTTTCAAAATGCCAGTAACTTTGAATTAGTTACAAATAACCTTATATAGAATTTATTTTTTAAAGTTTGCCCAGCATTTCAAAATGATTGTGGCATTAATACAAGTTTTAAAATGTCAAAGTATGCTATACATATTGCACTTTTCTACTAGGACTGGGCTAGAATCTTCTGTGGCAAGATACCAAAACTACAGAATAAAATACATTTTAAAATCAATAGGTACTTTAGATTAATTTCCCTGAAATTATCAGAATCATTACCAAAATCTTCCAGGATTTTGTAAGATTTGATTACTTACATAGTTCTTAAAATTACTTACGGAGGGAATAAAAAAACAAAACCCTCATTTAATGACTGTTTATGTCCTTTTTTGGTCCCTCAATGACGAAAGAGAATTTTAAACAAATTATGTTTCATGTTTCCTGACTTAATAAAAAACTAAAAATTTTCATTATCCAAATCAATAAATACAATAATTAGAAACTATTAACTTTGGAATGTCTATGTCTGTCTGTCTGTAGGTCTCCTTAGAACCCTTCCAAGCTTTTATAATCAAGAAATTTTAATCAATTATGTACTAGAATCATTTTAGGTAAAGAAAAAGTTATTTTGCAAAAATAAAATCCCAATATGCTTGACAGAAACAAGCTATTCATTGTCATTTGTGTTCCACTGAAGACATTACTGAAATCTGTCCAATGGTTTATTTCCAAGTGGTCCACTATAAACTTCTTCGGAATGTTTTAAGATTGGCTGTAGCTAGAGTTCTGATTTCCATTTGGACCCTGCTCTCCTTCACTGTTTAAATGGGGAAGAAAGAGATTTTATACCAATTAAAAGATTCATTTCAACACCCTGATAAGCTTACTTATTTCTGAAGTTCATTATTCTATGGCATAAACTAATATACTCTGACTTTAAGACACAGATGTGGAAAAATTAAAATCCAGAAAATTAAAATTTGGTTTTTAAATTTTTATTGTTTGCAACTTTGTGCCTTCACATATAACAAGCAGTCTGGAAGTTAGTGTCCATATACACTCAAAAAATTTAAATTAGGATATGGGATTTTATTATTATTACAGGTATCACTCAACATAGAGATTACAGCTTTTTCTGAACAAATGACCTACAAAATTAAATCTTACATATAAAATTCTATTTCTACTATTTAGGAATATCAAAAGTGTTCTTCTAAAACAACAACAACAAAAAATACCTCTTGTCCAATGGTATAACAAAATTCTATGTAAGTACAACAAACTTTTGTAAGTCAGAAAAAAAAATACAGTAATTTTCTGGAAAACACTAAATACTTAAACTAAAAATAACTAAAGCTGAAAATACCAGTAACTGTGGCAATAGGATTATTGCCTTATCTTGTCCACCATCATCTTGTAGCTTCAGGCCCTGCCACTAGTGGAGAATCACTCAGGGAATTTCTGTAAAAAATGCATCCAAAGGTAGCTGTTTGAATGACTGCCTTAAACAGCTCCTTGTATAAGTCAAGTATCATTTTCTTCCAAACTGTAACATTAACTTAATCAGTAGCAATCTATAAATCTATCTTTCTAAATAAATGATTAAATGGGTAGCATTTATTTTCCTTCTCGCCTTCATTCACTATCACAAATAATCTGATATACAATGAGGGCTGTGAATCACTGAAATAAATGAACAGATCCTGTTTAAAACAAAAACCTCTTAACACAAGAGATTCTTACCTGGCAAATTCATGTTATTGGCTGTTGTGCATCAACATTCTTTATCTTTACTTATTAGGCAATTCATTGAATTTTTTGAAAACTGTGAAATTTATGACATAGAATAGCTGGGAGTGTGTGTGGAAGCATACAACTAGCACTGAACTACTACAGAGCTCTTTATTCCTGAATTTCATATGAACTTGCCTAATTCAGTTTTACTTAAGTATACATACTGTATGTGGCTGTATGTTGAGGGATACCTGTAATAAACCTCCACTGCATTAGGAAAAATTATCAAATAATGAGATTAATTTATTTGAAGTGAGATATTCTCAATCAGTCAAGTCACAAATTAAACATGAATCATAAAGCTTTTGTAGAACTTTTAAGGAAAAGATATGAAACAACATAATCTAAGAAAGAATATGCTAACTGAGTATAATAAAATCAATAATTAAGCCTACAAAGTACCTGTTTGGAGGTGGTTTTGGTTTTGGCATCTTACTAAGAATAGTTGCCATCTCTTTTCTCTCATCAAAATTCTTCCACTGCTCATATAGTTTTAAAATAACCCTGATAATTTCCAAAATCTGAAAGAAAACATTTGAAAAGTTCTCAGTGGCATAAACAAGCAACACATTAGTATTAAAAAAACACCTATCATGAGTGTGGTCCTCACAGTGCGCTTTACCCCAGCACTTGGGAGCTGAAGCAAGAGGATGGGGAGTAGAAGGCCAGCCTGGGCTTCATGGCAGGATCCTGTCTCAAAAACCAAAACAACAAAAAGAGCCACACATTGCGTACACACTGTCCTTCAGAAAACAGTAAAAAGATACAAGTTACTGCCCTTGAGTATCAGGTTGGATTAGACAATCTAACTTGTTTGAAAGCAGTTAGTTTTCAACACACTGCTATTTAGGCTTTTCTTCCTAGCCCCTTATCTTTTACCTTGTATTCCCTACCTGTCCTTATCTCTTACCAGTCAGATTCCTCTTATCTGTTGATATCTTAAAGTCTAACAAAAGTAAGGTAGTATCTAAGAATAAAGGTTCTAATCATTAAGGAATATACTACTATAGAGCACTCTCTAACAACTCTTGTTGTTTGAAACAACTTAAGGGGAGGTAGGGCATACAAAACTTTGTTTTAATTCTGTTATACTCTACACTTAAAGTGATCAAAAATTGGCAGGTAGAGCTGGGCATGGCAGCAAACTTCCATAATCCCAGCATTTGAGTGACTAATACATGAGAACAGGGAGATCTCAAGTTTACGGCCAGCCTGGGCTATAGAGAAACCCTATCAAAAAACCAAACCAAAACAAAACAAACCAAACACCTATGTCCAGTTTTCAAATTAGTCCTTTTTTCCCCACCCAAGTGGATCCAACCTTGAGTTAATTTTAATGTTTTAAACATCTGAGCAGAAAAGGGGGCAGATACCACTTTTCCATAGTCTGTAACAGAAGCTCACAGCAGCACTCAGTGGCCACTAAATAGAGCTTTTTTTTTTTTTGGTGGTACTAAAATTTAAACTCAGGACCTTGTGCTGGCTAGACAGGTGCTCTACCTCTTGAGCCACTTCCTGCCCTTTTTACATTAGTTAGTTTTGAAATAGGGTCTCGCTTTATGCTGAGACTAACCTGGACTGCAATCGTCCTATTTATGCTTCCCCGCCTAGCTGGGATGACAAGCACAAGCCACCATGTCCAACCACTGGTTGCAATGGGCTCTTGAAAACTGAGATGGCCTCCTGATCTCTGTCTGCTAATTAGCTGGGACAATGCTGGAAGTTAGAGGCTACTCTGCAACCAATCAAGTCAAAAGTTTACCATTCTGTTTAATTCTAAAACAAAAATAACTTAAATATGAACATCAACTCGTCTCACTGAACATAATTAACCAACAATTTTCTTAGTGTGGTAGACATGTAGGCTCAAGATAAGCAAATATGACATGAATTTTTTAAATGTCCAAGGTTATAGAATTTTAAAGAATACCTTCTCCATATCCACAGAAAGCTCAGCAAACCACTGTCTGGCATCTTTCTGCTGTACAACACAGGCTACGTGTAGGCAAGCTGAAAAGAAAACGAGAGATAGTTGCTCAAATTTAACTGTAGACAGAGTCTTAGAAATAAGATTCTCATAAACTTTGTGTAGATCTTCCAATACTAGTTTTGAAAATTATATAGCTACATAGTAAATGGAACTACCATTGACTATATCATTAGTTTAATCTGATAGCGTCAAAATAAAATTGCCAGACTACATTAAGGTTCTTAGTATCTGTTCCTCACTATGTGTTAATCATAATGCAGAGCCTGAGAGAGGGTATTAGAGAGGAACAAATCCAATGACATCTCTGAACAGCAGTACAAAGTAGTCAAGCTGTACCCAGAAGTCAGTGTGACAAAAAAAAAAAAAAACAAATAATCAATACACTCATAAATTTTAACAATATTGGCTATATTTTGATATTTCAATTAAAAGAAATGTTGCCTCAACTTTTTTCAGGTTTTCTAAGTTTTCAGTACATGATCAAATTATGAGTCAACTGAGTACACTGGTATAGAATTCAGGGTCCTAATCAAATAGAGATTAGAAAAAAAATACAATACATTGTATACAATATAATTATACATATTATATACAATCTACACTAACAAAGATAGTTGCCTGTTCCTACAGTACTACAGCATGGCTATCCTGACACCACCCTACCTTGTTAAAATTTATATTCCCTGGTCTGGTTATCCATGACTCTGCTAAGGATAACATTATAGGCAAACAACCACCCAAGGGGCTGGGTTTGTGGCTCAGTGGTAGTGTACTTGCCTAGTATGTGTGAGCCCTGTGTTTCCTCCTCAGCATTGCAAATAAAATCAACAACTAGACAAAACAAAACCAAGAAAAGCTGGGTATTGGATTTGGAGTTTCAAGGCTACCCTGAGCTATGTGGTGAGACCTGTCTCAAAAAACAAGAAAAGAAAAAAAAGAAACAAACAGCCACTCAAATGTAACTGGTATACTGGTTGCCCCAAGTCAAAAGAAGCTACATGGTTGCATCTCTGCTACTTAGGAGGAGATTAGGAGGATGGCAGTTGGAGGCCAGCCTGAGAAAAAGTTAGCAAAAATCCATCTAAAGCCAGGCGTGGTAGTTCATGCCTGTGGTCCCAGCTACTGGAAAGCATAAGTATAAGGATCACAGTCTGAGGCCCCTCCTGGGCAAAAACACCAGACACTATCTGAAAAAATAATTAAAAACAAAAAGTGTTGGAAAATGTGGCTCAAGTGGTAGAGCACATGCAAGGCCCTAAGTTCAAGGCCCTCTACTGCCAAAACAAAACAAAACAAAAAATCAAGAATAGGGCTTAGGTAGAGAAGGGACTGAGAGGCCAAAGAATTGAAACAATAAAAAATACGTACTTTTAAAATACAGTAGAAATGCCTGAACCATATTTTTAAAAAGGCGAGAGTAGGAGGCAAGAATGGAACATACAAAATGATAAAAAGAGGTTCCAGATTTTATCAGGAGGAGCACGAAAAGATTTAATTGGGAGACAAATTTTGCATTTAAAAAGCTCATTCTAGCTCAGGGTTTCTCAAGCAGACACTATTGTTATTTTTGCTTGTAGTGTTCTTTGAGGCTGTCTTATGCACTATAGGATGCTTAGAAGCATCCCTGGCTTCTATCCAGTAGATGCCAGTACCATACCACTCCAGTGTTACACCTAAAACCATCTCCAGACAATGCTGAATGTTTCCTGGGGAGGGCAAAATTATCTCCCACTGACACTCTCTGAGCTACTGTGGAAGACAAATTGCGCCTCTGAGGACAGGGAGACTGCTGTGGTAAACTGCATGGATCTGAGAAGATGGCTATAAGATTAGAGAAGGGACAGAATATTGAGAGGAAGGCACAAAAGGTACTGGTAACCAACTAAACGTAGCTATTCAGAGACATAAGAACCTAACTGCTGGGTTTTTAACCAAGGTAACTACCTAGTGCTATTCATAAATCTAACAAAGACATTAAAAGGAAGAGCATATTTAGGAGTCAAGTTAATGAGCTCAGTTCAGTCCTGATCCTGAGTCTAAGGTACTAGTGAGATGCCAAGTAGAGCAATATAAAAAAACTATACAAAGAACTTCTTAGGAACAAGATGTTGGCTAAATCAATCAATTTAAATGCTTCAGCACAGAAGAGACTATAGAAGCATAAGCCTCAATAAGATCACATGGATGGAATGGGCAGCCAAGACATGGTACATGTCCTGTTATCTCCTCCTTCCTATTTGTGCAGATCCCAGCGCTTCTTCCCAAGATGGCCCTTCAAAATCCTTCCAAATCTGGTACTATAGAAGAGTCCCTAGTGCTACAGAAGCACATGCCTGTCTGTCACCCCTGATGTAAGAAGGCTGAAAGACTTGAACATTTAAGAAATAACAAAAAAAAAAAAATTAAAAAAAAAGAGAGAGGGAAACCAATTAAAAATAAGTCTGGTATGGTAAAAAAATAGCACGGAGTGGATGAAGTCATGGAAATCAATAGAAGAAAGAAAAAGGAACAGAACTATCAAATACCTAGGATATCTTAGACAACATTGGTGCTCTATATCCTTTCATTTACTCTTGAAAGTAAAGTATATGTTTTTTTTTTTTAATAGCAGCAATGGGGTTTGAATAGGGTTTGGGCTTTGTGCTTGCTAGGCAGGTGCTCTACCACTTGAGCCATGCCCCAACCTGGAAGTAAAGTTTAAACCTAGGATATCTGACTGCAAAGACTGTTCTAACCCATTACTACACTGCCTTCTACAAGTGATGGAATGGTTGCTTAACTTCTCCCCCTAGCAAGACAGTCAGAACCACAGATGCTTCTTTACTCAATCTCTAGTACTTAATTGGGCCCTGGAAATGGAAAACAGGCTCAGTTATTTTATAAGACAATATTAGCAGGCTTAATTCTGAATTTTTCCCCCTAACAAACAAAAATGTTCTATTTAGATGCTGATTAAAATTATTTTAATGATATAAGAAAAAAAACTTACCAAAAAAGGGGGGTGGGGGGACAATAATCCTGATTTGTGACAGTTGCAGTTCATATTATTGAAAGTTCACATGCAAGGATTAGTCTTACTTCATGGAACACAAAAACATAAAGTACAATAGGGTGAAATTTATTTTAGGATGACCTAAATAGGATTATAACAATTTAACTAATAAAGGCACACCATGCTTACATACCTAAAGCTATCATGAAAGGAGGATACAGTAGGCAAAGATCCGTTCGGTAGGTATCATTCACTATCCTCCTATAGAAATGTAAATCATGTTATTAATGAAAGTAGAATTACATCATTTGATTGCACATTTTCTCTCAGAGAGGGCCAGATTTCCCACCCTTGTATATAGTTATTTCCCTTTCCTATTACACAGCACAGTAATAAAGATGAAAACATCAAGGCCAAAAGGATGGATGCATGAATGTGGCAATAAATAAATACATGTAATATACCATATAATAATCATATATCAGTGAATATATCTTAAAATTTCAAAACCTCACAATAAATTATAACATTTGTCTGATTTTTGAAAAATTAGAAAATAAAAAATACAATGAATTTATATATATGTTGAATACTACCAAAAGTTAGTATCTTAAAGATAAATTTATGCTTAATTTTAATGTTTTTCATGCAAAATAAAATGTTAACAGGTGTATTAATAAAGCACATCATTTAAGATGTATATCCCTTTAGCATTTACACCTCTATAGTTATTAAAATTTACCAAGGAGATATTTTGCTCAACATAAAATATCTTGGGGCACTAGTCTTAATGACTTTTAAAATACCAAACTTTGTATTTGTCAACCTTTCTGTCTAACAACACGTTATACTATTAATAACTTCTGTTCTAATTACCATGCAAGGGGAAGCAACATGTCTTCTTGGCCCATGTCCTGCACATACTGGAGCAAAGGTCTATAAGGATGATACACTATCAAGCAACAATCCTAGAAACAGTTTAAAAGATGTGTATGTATAAAAACAGATTTATTACAACAAAAAAAGATACCACTATCCAACTGATTTATAATTGTATTTCAAAATGAACTTCTCCAACTCATGCTTGCTTCCCTTTTACTATCTTAAGCAAGCAACAGAGCCCTAACTCTACTATAATAGTTAAGGCAGTGCTCTCTCTGGAATATACCTTGGTAAATCGGTTGGCAGTCAGTCAGCATCCATTCATTCCCTTAGAGACTCAAAATGTCACATCTGCAACACACTGAAACCTCTCATTAGCCTATAAATCCATAATTCCCAAAAGGAGGAGCAGAATTCTGCCAAAGACATAATCTACCTTTAAATAACACTGCACACATACACAAACTGGGCATATAATTTTCAGTGGTTTAATGTCTTGTTTGCTTGTAATTCTTTTATTATAATTACTAGAAAATAGAACAATTTTCCCATCCTGAATAGAATGATACAAACTATTTCACAGGCTTGAGATAGGAAACAGATGATGATGTTAACTAGGTTGCTATAATTTCACCATCACTTGAGTGGTTTAAAAATGTACCTCCCTACAGATCACTTCATTAAATAATTGCTGACTATTAAATTTGAAATTAAATTTTACCTTATTAATTACAGAAAAGAAACATACTTACCATTAGTTCTAAGAGATAAAATTCACATTCTAGTATCTGTTAAAAAAATTATTCGTTGTTAACAAAAAGCATAATTACATGAGTCTGCTTAAAGTACAATTTACAGACATTATAGTAATTCATCACATATGCTTACTAATTTTTGGTATTTAAAAAAAAAACCATAGTAGCAGAGAGAACATATACAACAAAAATTACTTTTATAAAGTATTTAAATTCTAAGGAAAAGCCAGTCTCTTTTTTGTTTTTTGCATTCCAAGCACATGCTCTACCACTGAGCTACACCAGTGGTGTAGCCCCAATCTTACTATTTTTATTTACAACATCCCATAAAAACTTTAGATTTTTCAATGTACTTTCTAGTCAACAAATGCAAAGTGCGTTTATCTCTACTTAATTTTTAAAAAAGTACAACTTAAATAGAAGGAACAAATTCTTTGCAAAATGGAAAAAGGACATACCTATTAAAATGTCAATAGAAATGAGTCTTGTAACTTTTCAAATGTGGATTTCATACTGCTTCATTATAGTAGTTCTCAACCCCAGATGAACATTAGCACCATCTGGAAGCTTTTAGAAAATATTAACACCAAGGACTCCAAGCCTGAAAACTATTTTAGTAAGGAGAAATTTCTAATTTAATGGGCAGTCAGGATTGATAACCACTATTATGAAGCATTAAACAGAAAAATTAGAAGTTTCTGTTTACTGCCTATACTCTTATATAGTTTTTGAAACTGCCACTTCTAGGAGACTATGAAGTTTACATTAATATGAAATAGCGTTAGTTTATATACAGTTTTGACTATAATATACTCACATGATTCATCCTATAAGGAAATTCCTTTGGAAAGGCATATGAAAATCTAGTTTTTACTGCAAGGAAAAAAAAATTAAACTGAGAAAATGTCAAAGTGAATTAAGTCAAAATTCCTTTAACACATATTCATGGAGTGAGCTTTTTCTCTCGCTCCTTTGTTGGAGCAAGCTTTCTCTCACTCTTGGTTATTACTGAACCTAACTGGGCCTAACTGGGGCCCAGTTAAAAGAAAAAAATCACTGGCTTTTATTGTCTATAAAGTCTTTCTAATTCTAGAATGGTATTATTCTGTTCTCTCACTCTTGGTTATTACTGAACCTAACTGGGCCTAACTAGGGGGTGACGGGAGATGCAGAAAAGGCACAGGATAGACAAACAGAAAGTTGGGGCCAGGTGTGTTGGGTGCTCGGATGGAGACACACAACCCTCATTGCTTCTTTTCTCTATTTTCTTCATTTACTGTCTGCTTCTCTATCTTTATTCTTTAAGGCCTTGCTCCTTTACAATTCTTTATAACCTTGTTTCTAAAGTCTTTCCTTAAAACCTTACTTTTAAAGTCTTCCTTTATGTTCTTTAAAGTCTCTTTCCTTAGACTCACTCTGTCCCATGTCTTCTCTTAGCTGTTCTTTAGCATAATCTCTCTTTGCCCCCAGACTTGCACTGTCCCATGTTTTCTCTTTAGCTTTCTTAAAGCCTTGGTGCTCAGACTTGCACTGTCCCATGTTCTCTTTAGCTTTTCTAAAGCCTATGTATAAAGTTCTCGGTTCAGACTTGCACTGTCCCATGTTCTCTTTAGCTTTCTTAAAGTCTCTGCCCTCGGGCTTGCTAGCAATTCCCCTTTAGCAATTCTCCTTCAGCAATTCTCTTCCCTTCCAAAAGCCTTCCACACCAAAAAGCAAAAAAAAGCAAAAGCCCAAAGCAAAAGCCTGTCCTCCTTCAGTGAGTCTTTTATATCCAGTGCTAAGCAGGGTGGAGCAGCAATTCTTGGGGAGAGGCATGACACTGTAACAGGAAAAACCTGAGTTCCTGCTTCTCTGAATGTAAACAACTTAGGAGAAGCAGCTGTTCTGCATTTTCCTCTTCTGTGGCCCAGGCTGTGCCAATCTCGGCCTACAGATAAACATCTTAGGAAAAACAGTTGAGCTGCATCCAGTTCTCGAAGGCTTCTCATAATCCGCTCTCCATACATAAGAACAGAGTATTAGAAGGTATAGCTACATCATCTCAGTAGATGCTCCTGGCAATGCTGGCTTTTTGTTTCCAGGAAGGAGAAAGACTGGGTAGCAAGCAGCCCTACACCCTCACAGGTACTACAAACTACAATTCTAGAGCTTCGGGGCTGAAAGCATAGCTAAAGTGGTAGAGAGTCTGCCTAGAGAGCTTCAATTTTCTATTTATACATCAAGAAAGGGTTCTGCTGCTTAAAAAAAAAATTAAAAGAAAAAAAAATAACTGGCTTTTATTGTCTGTAAAGTCTTTCTAATTCTAGAACGGTATTATTCTGTTCTCTAGTAATTTAGCTTAGAAGGACCATAGAAGTTGTATATGTGTTTACAAATGCTATATATAAATGCTACATATTTATAAAAAATCGTAATGAAGAAGGAAGGGGGAAGGGCAAAAAAAAGTTAGCAATGACTAGCTCTGACATTTAAGGATTGTTTTAACAAGTTGTATTTCTAAACTTTTTATGGTGACAAAGTATTTCTTTGCTAAAAGATATACTTTAATAAAAGCATCATGCCTGTAACCCTAGCTATTCAGGAGGCAGAGATAAGGAGGATCAAAGATGAAGTTGGGGCAAATAGTTCACAAAACCGTATCTCACCAAACCCATCACAAAAAAAGGGATGGTGGAGTGGCTCAACGTGCAGGTCCTGAGTTCAAGCCCCAATACTGCCCACCTCCAAAAAAAAGTATCAATACATGTGCAAAGTCTCCAGGACTTCTTTCACACCACACATATATACAATTACCACTTGTTAGTTGCTAATAACATACAAATGAGGAAGAGGGTGGGTAAAAGTAGGAAGTTAAGAAAGTGAATATAGTTGGTGTACTTTCTATACAAGAATTAATCTACAATTTTTTAAACCTGTTAAAATAACCATAAGAAGGGAAGTAAGGTAGAAAGGAGAAAAATAAGAGGAGAATGAACCAATTTGTGTTATAATACATATATGCACGGAAATGTCACAATGAAACTTACTGTATAGCTATATCTTATGTTCAAAGTTATGCTGAGGACCTATCTAGCAGTTATTTAGTGAGGCAGTGACCAGGAAGGTCATCAACAGTCCACCCCCTCCCTCTCCTGCAGTCTTAATAAGTGTTTTCCTCTTTAAATTCTTTGCTTCCATCCTTATGACGAACATTAGACGGGACTTATGTACTGTTATTAACGCCAGTTCAACTCAATAGACAATGCTATAACACAGGGCCAGCAATTTAGGAATAGGTATGGTGTGCTCCACCTCTGGGCCTCTCATTTTCCTCACCTTAACTCCCACACAGAATCATTTACAACCACGCAATCCCCCTCGGAGCACCCTGGGCTGCCTGATCTGGTGTCTGTCACTGGGCTGGTTTTCATGATGATCCACAGTGTCTGTACATAGCCACTGTATCCTTATCTCAACTAGCAAAAACCCTTGCTCGCTGGAGCCGGGCCCTCGCGGTCGCGCGCGTCCGCGTGTCGGGGGTGGGCCGGGGGAGATCGAGGAGAAGGGAACAAACAAAAATGTATTTTTTCAAAAACGGAGAACAGGAAGGTAAAACAGGTCCTGTCTGGGGGCTGGCACCAGTGGGAAGGGCAGGATATAAGGAAAGCGTGTAGGAGGATGAATATGGAAGAAATATTATGTACTCATGTATAAAAATGAGACCTGTTGAAACTGTTACAGAATGGGGGAAGCGGGGATAAAAGAGAAACAATACATGGAGTGAATTTAACTATGATATATTGTAAGCACTTCTGTAAATGTCACAATGTACTCCCAGTACAAAAATAATTTAAAACAATTAAAAAACTAAATATAAAAAAAGAAAAGAAAAAGGAAAACAACATCCTAGTGGGGTATGGAGACAAACAGCTGAAAATAAAAAGAATCTTTTGAAAATAAAAAAACGAAACAAAACAAATGAAGTACAAATGAAAACTCAGTGTTAACCATCTCCTTGAAATGGTATGAGATGTACCTATGTAAGTACAACTTGAGAAAACTGGACTCAAATCATTGATACAAAATTTAATTAAACCAAGATAACTATTGACAAGCTATAAAGGATCTGGTTTGTTATCCCTTCTATTTATACAAGTGACTTACTAAGATTAAAAGGAACTACTGGGCTGGTGGAGTGACTCAAGTAGTAGAGTGCCTGCCTAGCAAGCTTGCGTTCCTGAGTTCAAACCCCAGTACCACAAAAAAAAAAAAAAAAGCCTAAAAGGAACTATTTATTTTATGTACTATATTTCCAAAAAGATTTGCTTTATAAATTAAGTACCCTATAGCTAATTTAGATAGGTAACATATGCCAAGATTTGAAACCCAGAACCATTTAAACTTGACATTAGAAAATGTCAACTTCTCTCCTACTTCATGCTACAATGCTCTGTAGTTTGACTTTCTTTTTTTTTTTCCAAGGTGCTAAGGACTGAACTCCAGGCTTTGTGCATGTTAGGAAAGCGCTCTACGGCTGAGCTACATCCCTAGGTGAGATTTTCTAACTTCTAATCCTTTTCTTCCAGCTTGGAGGAAAAAGCATCCCTCCTGTGTATTATTATACCTGCCATTTGTGAACTTGTTTTCATCTGTTCAACTGATAGTCCCTATGATTTTTTTCCCATTTAACTTTTCCTTCAGTAAATCTGTCATCACTTAATATGTTCAAATTTCCCTTAAAAATCTACATAATTAAATTCCTAGGTTTTGGTTTTTAAGTAGACACAGTATTTTTTGGAAATGATTTTACATGTCAGAGAAACTTATTAGACAGTACTGCTTTCCCACATACCCTGTTACTGCGTATGTATTTGTTTCTCCCCACCTCTCCCGATTAATATGTTGGTGGCATTTCAAAATATGTCCTTTGGGATGTAATTAGGTTTCAATGTGGGCCCCATGATAGGATGATAGGTCTTAAAAAGAAAGATCATCTCTCTCTCTCTGGGACATGACATAAAGTCATGGCCGTTCTTGGTCATGTTTGACCCCTGCCACCACCGTCCCCCACCAGATTCCAGAACTATGAGAAATGTGTGAGAAAAGCCACCTACTCTATGGCATTTTATTATAACAGCCAAGCAGACTAAGGTATTCCCTTCATCCAGTTTCCCTTATTATTAGTATGTACATTTATTATAATTAATGACTCAATACATTATTACTAACCAAAGTCCATAGTTCATTCAGCTCTCCTTAGTTTTCACCTAATATTCTTTTTCTGTTCCAGCAATTCATCAAAGATTCTACATTATGTTTACTCATGTCTCCTAACATTGAGTTTTGAGAGTTTTCCAGACTTTCCTTGTTTTTGATGACTTGGACAGTTTTTAGGAGTACTAGTAAAATATTTTGAAGATGCCCCATTACTGAAATGGGTCCGACTTTTTCCCATGATTAGACTAGATTCATGGGTTTTTGAGAGGAAGATCACAGAAGTACCCCTTTCATCATAACACATCAAGGGATAGTACTAGTAATGTACTTGATCACCATTGCTATTGACCTTGATCACCTAGCTGAGGTAGTGTTTTTTTTTTTTTCAGATTTCTCTACTATAAAGTTACTTGTTTACTTCCTTTGCATAACACACACCTTAGATGGAAGTTAGTATATAGCGCCAATGCCTTAAAAGTAGGGATTTTTTTTTTTTTTTAATGCTTTCCCTACTTGAAAAAAGAGCTACAGAAATCATTTGGAATTCTTCTGCATGAGAGATTTATCTCTTCTCCCTCACTTATTTATTCATCTATTTATATCAGTATGGACTCAGGGACATATACTTTATATGGGCCACAAACCATTTTTTATAGTTTAGGTTATAATCCATACCTTATTTTTTCTGTTGTTCAAATTCTAGTTTTGGTCAACAGGAGCTCTGTAGTCATAGCTTCTTCTGACATACCCCCAGCAATGCAGGTCTTTGCTTTTGGTTTTGAATACTTCCTTAGCCACTGGCACTATGAGAGGCTCTAGCTCAAATTTATGTATTTCCTACCCCAATCTTAGAATGAGCCATTTCTCCAAGGAGCCTTAGTCCCTTTTATTGGAGAATGATATAAGACACTAAGATCTGGGTACTGAGGTGAGCTTGGGTCTATTTATCTTTTAATTAAACCTCATCTTTTTAGATAAAGACCTAAGACCAAGCAACTTGCTCAAGGTTATTCAGTTGCTTAGGGACACAACTGCAGCTAAATGTTAGTTCAACTGACAATACAGAATTTTTTTTTCTGTACCCATTTCTCAATTTGGAGGTATGAAAATTCTCATCAAAAATATACACTGCAATCACTATAGAAATAGTTTCTATTCCTAAGAATGTAATAATGCTGGTCACTAGGAAACAATAAAATTAGGAAATTAATTTCTTTTCTTTACCCTTATAAAATTAAGAGCCAGTGAGTCACATCTTTTGGACTGGTTATTACTCATTTTTAACATTGAAAGTAATGTCTTACAGGAAGACAGTCGAAGATGTGTTGAAATGCTATGTTTCCTCTTCCCACAAGCTGCCCCTGCCATTAGAGCAAGTGGCCAGACCTGACCTATGAAACCCAGGAGTTTGGGCTTGGACCTAAAGCATCCTGTAATAATTATGGATTTTGCAGTGCTACAGATTGAAATAGATCCCCAATGGTCTTTCTTTTTATGGTAAAGTAGAAAATCTTTTAGGAAAAGTCCTTATAAGTGGGCTGAGGTATGCGAGTGATACAGTACTTGCCTAGCATGCACCAAAAAAAGTCTTCAAGTTCCAAAAGCAAGCACCTTGAGGAACTAGTTCCTGTTAGTTTTTAAAGGAAGAGCCTAGGTACTACAACCTGTATAAAGTTCATTTATCTTGATTTAATAACAATAATGACAAAAGTATCCATGGACCCTCACTTTAAGAGAAACACTAAATTTTCTCTTACTAGAAAAAGAAAATGAAGTGAAATATGAAACGAAGTATAATATGACTGCAGAAACTCCCCCTTCCATAAAACATTTTAGATTTTTGGGGTTTTTTTAGTGGCGCTGAGGCTTTAACTCTGGACTTCATGCCTACTAGGCAGGCACTCTTACCTCTTGAGCTACTCCACCAGCTCCATAAAGCATTTTAAAAATAGTTCCTGGGCTAGGGATGTAGCTCATTGGTAGAGCACTTGCCAAGAATGTGTGAGGGCCTGGGCTCGATCCCCAGCACCACAACAACAAAGTAATGTCTTATATATAATAATGTAAGTGGTTAAAGACAACTCCTTTTTTAGCTTTATTTTTTTGCCAGATATGCTAGTCATAAAGTTATTCTCAGGAGATGCAATAAACCCGACTACACATGTCTCATAAACTAAAAGGTATTAATGTACTACGGAGCTTGCTTTATTTTATACCTTTAAAACGAAATATAGTTTTTGTACTTACATACAGATGTAGCAGCAGAAATCAATCTTGTATTTGAGACTACTCCAAATTCCTAGACAAAGAGAAGTAGATGAGATCAAGTACACATTAACCTAATAAACATTAGGATAACTGAGGTCTACTCAAAACAATTCTCAAGTTTACAGTCTGCTTAGCTTCTACCTACTGAGGTATGAAGTACTTAAATTTCTAAATGTACTACCTTTCCTTAAAACTGTCACAATTTAAGATAATTTTTAAGTAATTTTATAATTTAAACTCAATAAAAGGTACCAAGTTAGAAACCAAGCCCTGAAGTGACAATACCAGTTTTTTTGCAAATAAATTAGCTTCTAAGAATACTATTGAATTCTATCCTTAACTGCAAGAAAAAATAAAGTATACTTTCTATTCAACTGAACCTGCCAGACAATTCATTCCATTTAATAAGAAACTGTCAATTCTCTGAAAAAGATAAAACTTTAGTATCACTCAGAAGAATAATAACCCCTATGATTCTTTCTGAAACAGGGAAAAAACAAGAATATGACATAAGACTTTTAAGGTTAGTTGCTATTTCCTCTTTCAACTAGTATACCACTACTGTAGAATACTAAAATGCATCAGGTGATTCACTTCACTTATGTTATCTCATTTAATTTCAGATAAACCTCGTAAGACTTCTAAAGCCTCACTTTATTTTCAAACAGGAAAATTAAGAATTAGTCTAACTGGGAGCCAGTTAGACTGGATTACTGGGAGTAATCCTAGTTACTCAGGAGGTAGAGATCAGGAGGACCACAGTTCAAAGCCAGCCTGAGGCAAACAGTTTGTGAGACCCTAACTAGAAAAAACCCGTCACAAAACAGGGCTGGCTGAGTGGCTCAAGTGGTAGAGTACCTGCCTGGCAAACATAGCAAGCATAAGGCCATGAGTTCAAGCCCCAGTACCACCAAAAAAAAACCCAACACAAACAAAAAAAACACCAGAATTAGTGCCTTTCCAACAAAAGAAACTAAATTAAAAAATACCTATTCAAATACCTGCAACCTATATTCTTATCCCGTGCTGGGAGAATGTATGTGTGTATATATACACATATATATGTGTATATATACATATATACTCATACACAATGTATGTGTATATATGTATATATACAGAGAAACTTCCAACCATAATGAGTCAAAATAAAAACTAAAGCCTGGGATACATTCTTAACCACCATTTGTATACAGTTTTCAGACAAGTGGACAAAACACAGAAATATTTGGTCATAGAGATTAAAAAAAATGCTACAATTAAATCTGAAAGGATACATTGCTCCCCTCCCCCATAATTCTTTATCAAAATTTTTCTGTTTTGTTTTGTGATGCTAGGGATTGAACCCAGGGTCTCACACATTCTAGCTAAGTGCTTTGCCTGAGCTACGTCCCCAGACCTATTCCAAATTTTTTAAACTGAAAACTTTCACTCAGAAAACCATTAATGAAGTTCTACTCGGTAAATTAAGTAATGAAAGTTTTTATTTTTGTTTAGTACTGTGGATTAAACCCAATGTCTTACATACACTTACTAAGCATTCACTCTACCACTGAGGTACTTCCCAAATAACAAAAGATATTTAGAAAAGAAGATAAAACTAAAATCCCCAAGTTAATCTACAATAATGGAGCTTTACAAAGATTATTGTCTTGGTATTCCATACTGGTTGTCTGCCTCCTTAAACTATCCTATCATAACTAGAAAACCATAAACCTCTAGGAAGCTTTTCTTAATATTATTCCTAATACAGTCAATTCTCATTATATAGGTAATAATTTAGATGTAATGGATACTGTTAAATAATGTTTACAACAAAACTAAATAAAAAATGGGTATAAAAGCAATGTAAAATTCTCATCTTAAAATCATATTCAATATTCAAGAATACAATTACTATTCTAAAGACACCAACCAGAAGTAGAAACACAATGCAAATGCATTATAATACTAAACAGTACATGGACTAGTTGTGTAAAAGTCAGTTTTCATAAAATCTGCTCTTTTCTGGGTTTCAGCTGAGAGCTGAGCTCTCAAAAATACTTAAAAGTTAAGCAGAAATTCAGTCTTAGATCCAAGTTCTCATCTTTCTTCCGTCCCTCACCTATTTTTTTCTACCCTTACTATCCAAACTTGTTAAGAATCTACACAGCTACAGCATCTCCCAATCCTCAAATTTCTTCTTGCTTTCCTTATGGCTTGTTAGGCATCAGAAAGAAGGGAAAGAAAACAGTACAAAATAAGCATATGAATGAGGAGGGACATCCTCAGATTAAAGTAGACAAGCAGTGGCACTTACTGAATACTACTTAATGCCAAACAATGTCTTAAAGGCAGCAGAGAAAACAGTTAACACAAGATTAGGAACTAGACTCCCAAGGTTCATATACTGGCTCTGCCACTTACCAGGTGTGTGATCTTAGGCAAGCTATTAAATCTCTCTGTGCCTCAGTTTCTTCATTTATAAAATGGGAGATACTACTACTATAGCTTCCACGGTTTGTTATAGGGATTAAGTTAGCATTTGTAAAAAGCCTTACAAAAGCACATGATATATAGTCAGTGCCATATAAGTGTTTATTAAGTAAATATATGAAATAAATATGTATAAGTACATATTTTGATTTTTAAAATTTCAATATTTTGCATAAATTACTATCTATCATTATACTTACATAGCCAATGTAAAAACGAGTAGATAACAAACATACATTGACTATACTTTTATGAAGAACAGAAAATTATTTTATACCTCTACTTTGGATGCCAAAAATACACATGTAGGAGCCATTAATACAGGATCTATACTTTTCAGAGAATACCTAAAATATAATAAAACAAAGTTAAACATCACCCATTTAGAAAATACACTGGGGAAAAAAAAAAAATCACAGTAACTATGACAAACACATGATTCATTTATAATAAGGTTCATCAACATTAGACAAGCATTCAAATAGGCATAACATAGTCCCAAAATAAAGCAGGCCTACCTGGCATAGAATCTCTTGAAATAAACTGTAGCAGTGGCAATAACTTGTTGTCTTAATTTAAGATGTTCACCTAATGCTTGAATAACTAAAAGGAAAATAATTAAGTTTAAAATGTACCATTTGGTATCACTTTAATAATATTAACCATAAACAATAACTTCCCTGCATTTAAATGACTATGCTCATTTTTAATAAAGGGAAAAACCTACACATGCTATAAAGCTCTAATTCAATCACAGTGGTCTAGAACTAGGATTTATAAATATAGCAGAAGTACCTATTACAAAGAGAAAGTGACTCATAGCAAAAGTCATTCTTATACTAAGGAGGTTGAATGATAGCTATCCCCCTTCTAACTAATTTAATGTTTTTCATATTATCTTATATGTAAAAAGGAAAGTATTAGATACCTATCAAACTGATTATAACTACCATTACATACAACTCACAAAAAATCCATAATGAATCCTCAAAACAGAGAGGCAGGTTTACAGAAGAGTGTCTGAGGGTTAGAAAAATCATGTGACAAAGCTATCCCATGGGCAAGCAAAGGTCTTTTGACTAATACCCTTTCCTTCAAAGCGAAGTTCTAAGGTTTTTACCTTAGATGTCAATTCAAAGAATCATTTATCCTTAAAGTACTTTGTTTTAGTCAACCTTAAACTGGGTTTTATTACAAAGACTCAGAAGGCCAGGTGTTGGTGGCTCATGCCTATAATCCTAGCTATTTGGGAAGCTGAGATCAGGATGATCCTGGTTCAAGGCCAGTCCCAGAAATTGACTAAAGGTGTGGCTTATGCAGTAGAGCACCTATTTTGCAAGGGCAAAGCCCTGAATTCAAACCCCAGCCCACCAAAAAAGAAAAAAAAAAAAAAACCAAAAACTTAAATTAGTTAACACTGTCAAATTGTCGAGTGTGCCTGACCTGTAAGATCCACAAAACTCTATTCACATTACTAAAAAGATAAAAAGAGTAAGTTTTAAAAAGAATACATGTATAAATAAAAATGTTACGTATATTAAAAAAATGTCACGTATAAATTCAACAATCTATCAAAAAGATCATATACCATGATCAAGTTGGTTTCATCCCAGGGATGCAGGGATGGTTCAACACAGCAAATCAATGTAATACAGGTTATGAACAGAAGCAAAGATGGTTCAACAAGCCCATCAACAAATGTAATACAGCTTATGAACAGAAGCAAAGACAAAAAACACAAGACCATCTCAAAAGATACAGAAAAAGCCTTTACATCTTTCTTGATAAAAGCTCTGATGAAAATAGGAATAGAAAGATTGTACCTCAACATAATTAAGGCTATCTATGACAAACTTACAGCCAACATCATATATAATGAGGAAAAACTGAAACCATTTCCTCTAAAGTCAAGAATGAGACAAGGATGTCCACTCTCCACTCTTATTCAACATAGTTTTGGAATTCCTAGTCATAGCAATAATAGAAATAAAAGGAATTCAAATAGGAAAGAAGTTAAATTATCCCTATTTACAGAGGACATGATCTTAGACTTAAAAGACCTGAAAAACTCCATTAAAAAAAAAAACCCTAGACATTATAAATAAGTAGCAGCATACAAAAATCAATATACAAAACCAGTAGTTCTTCTATAAGCCAGTAATGAACAGACTGAGAAAGAATATAGGAAAACAATTCCATTTACAACAGCCTCAAAAAAAAAAAACCCCTAGGAAATAAGAAGTGAAAGACCCCTATAATGAAAACTATAAACCACTGAAGGAACTGAAGACTACACAAGATGGAAAGATATCCCATGCTCATGGAGCAGCAAAATTATCATAAAAAATGGCTAGACTATCAAAAACAATCTTTATGTTCAATGCAATTCCCATCAAAATTCCAATGACATTCCTCATGGAGACTGAAAAATCAACCCTAAAGTTCAGGCACAAAACAGCACAAATAACTAAGGCAATACTGAGCAGAAAGCAATGCTGGAGTTATCACAATTCTTGGCTTCAAACTATACTAGAGTCACAGCAATAAAAACAGAATGGTACTGCCACAAAAACAGACACAAAGACCAACAGGACAGAAATAAATTCCACAGCTACAGCCAGCTACCTGATTTTTGACAAAAGCACCCAAAAAATATGATGGAGAAAAGACAGCTTCTTCAACAAATGTTCCTGGGAAAACTAGACATGCATGTAGAAGACTGAAACTAGAACCATGTCTTTCACACTGTAAAAATATCAAAGTAGACCAAAGACATGAAACTTTGAAACCAGTGCAGGAAAGAGTAGGGAGTACACTGGAACATACACACATAGACAATAACTTCCTAAATAGAACTACAATGGCTCAGCAACTAAAAGAAAGGATCGACAAATGGGACTATGTGCACACCAAAGGAAACAGTCACCAGACAGAAGGGGCAGCCCACAAAAAGGAAGTAAATCTTTGCCAGCTATACATCTGACAAGGAATTAATAACCAGAATTCACAGAACTCAAAAAACTAAACTCCCAAAGAATCAATGACCCAATGAAGAAATGGGCAAATGAACTGAACAGAGCTTTTTCAAATGAAAATTTCCAAATAACCAAAAAATACATGAAGAAATGCTCAACATTCCTGGCAATAAAAGAAATGCAAATCAAAACCATGTTAAGATTCCACCTCACTCCTGTTAGAGTGGACACAAACAACAAAAAATGCTGGTGAGGATGGGGGGAAAAAGGAACCCTCATATATGGCTAGTAGGAATGTAAATTAGTACAACCACTATGGAAAGCAGTAGGGAAGCTCCTCAACAAACTAAAAATAGAACTACCACATGATCCAGCAATACCACTCCTAGGCATATGTCCAAAGGAATGTACGTCAGAACACAATAAAGACACTTGCACACCTATGTTAATGCAACATTATTCACAATAGCTAAGCTATGGAAACAGCCCAGTGCCCTACAACTGATGGATTAAGAAAATGCGACATCAAACCACACAACACACACACACACACACACACACACACACACACACACACACACACACACACAGTGGAATTTTATCCAGTCATAAAAAGAAAGAAAATGTTTCTGTTTGCAGGTAAAAGGATGGAACTGGATGGAGAACATGTCTTAAGTGAAGTTAGCCAGGTTCAGAAAGACAAAGGTTGCATCTTTCTCTCATGTGGAAGATAGATCCAATACAACTACAAGCATTAACATGTATACATATAAATACACAGAACATGTTTCCAAAAGTGGGACTGTTAAGGGAGTCTAAGGGTGGAGGAAAAGGATGATAGGGAATGAGTAATAATAAAATACATCACATCTGTGTAGAAACAGGACACAACAAAACACACTGAAAACTGCTGAACAACACAGGGTGGGGCAAAGGGTAACAAAGAGTAGCGGGGAGGATTAGACTGATTTAAGCACGATATATTTATAGGTAAAATACCAAGACAAATCCCCAATGAACAATGAATAAAATACTTAAACAATGAAGGACAGGAATGTAAAACAGATCATGTTAAGGTGAATGCACTACCAGAAGGGGGAGGGTAAACAAAGAGGATAAAGGAGGTTGAATACAGTTGATGTTCATATGTATATACATATGAACATGGACCACTGAAGCCTGCTGGAGTTGTTTTAAGACAGGGAATGGGGTAGAAGGGAGAATAATGGAGGGAATAGACCAAACCAGGGTATAATATACATCTATATGGAAATGTCACAATACTTCAAATACTGTAAAATTAATGAAAATGTTTAAAAATGTTATGTATACATGTAACAGTTCATCAAAAATTATCATACAAAAACATTCTCAAAGGCATCCAACTATATCACTTCAACCAACAACAAAAAATGTTTACCATTTGTAAAAAAAATTTGTAACTTCCAATACTCTTCTTCTGAGAGAAACTTTAAATCCTTTTGGCGCTCCTTCAACAGATCTTGTTTATCCAAAATCCATTGTAAACTAAAAGAAGTAAAGATGTTAGGACATACTATAGAAAATCAGTAAGCAAAGTCACAGAAAACCCACTAAGACTGAACAAACTGTTCATGTTTTGCGAAGTATAAAGTACAAGATGTAACCTTAAAAGACAATATAGGACTGCGTATATAGCAGAATGACAAAGCACTTGCCTCACATGTGCAAGACCCTGAGTTAGATCCTAGCACCAAAAAAAAAAAAAGACTAAAAGACCCATTTCTCACAATTAGTAAAAATAGTCTCACTAATAAAAACAAGTATGCCCTGACAGAAAAAGTTCTGCTCTAATCTCTTTCTTCTCCTTCTCAGTCTGTTACTAGCTTATACTATATTTCATTCATTCTAATATTCTGATATCAAGATGTATCTTAGAATGAGTGATGTCATAGCACTGCATGTTTTTCATTTCTTATGATACATAAAATAATGATGGAATTATATGGCATCACTGATGGTACCCTACATTTGATAAAACACATCTTTTCTCAGATGTTCATAAGTAAAGAGAATATTTAATTTTCTTTCTTCACAAATTCCAATCATGTTAAAAGCTACTTTAGAACTTTTTACACTCATAGCCTCCTTCTCCTGCCTAGTCAAGTGAATTATTTTTTAAAAGATATAAAATGAAATTGAGATGACTCAAAAGAAGCTTACTGCAATCTGATTTTGTCATTCAGTATGTATAGGAAGTCTTTTTAACAGTGAACTTGTTATTTAACATCCTTTTATTTATTTTTTTCTTTCTTTTACTTTATCATCTTTACATTTACTTACATGTGTATACATTGTTTGGGACACTTCCCCCCTCCTTACAAGCCTCCCCTCCCACATCCGGGCAGAACCTGTTCTGCCCTCTTCTCTGATTTTGTTGAAGAGAAAACATAGAAGATAAGAAGAAGGACATAGCATTTTTGCTAGTTTGGGATAAAGAAAGCTATGCAGAGAGATTCCTAGCATTGCTTCCACGCACTTGTGTACTGAAACCCACACTGGTTCATCTCTGCCAGACCTCTTCACTACTTCCTGGTCCCCTTCCCATATGGCCTCTGCCAGTTTAAGATTACTTTATTCACTCCTCTA